AAGGGTTAATCCATAATTTCATAGTTTCAACGCCTATAAACAAACTTCAAACCATAATACCACCAAAAACCTGTTTGTAAAAAGGCGCACACAGCCAAATCTGCATGCACACTTTATGCGCAAGATTCCGGTCTTTATTCTTCATAAAGCGTCCTAAATTCAGCCGATGTAAACTGCAAAACGTCCGTTTTAGAATTTAAAATCTCTGAAGATGACATATCACCAGTATACGGGAGATAAAATATTTCCACAGTCCACATTTAACGAGGTTAAAATCCTGGTGCCGTGCGCAATTACGCACAGAACTCCAAAGAGGTAGTCCACAGGTATCTGGATATATTCCGGTGCAAATTGGATGGAATATGACAAACATAACAAAGGTTTGCAATGTGAAGATACACATAGTTTTAAGAAATGCAATAAAAAAAATGCAGTCTATGTCATATTAATGCCTGGAACACAGTTAATGTATGCCATACTGCAAAAATCCAAAAATTCATGCAGGACTGACCTAAAGAGGAGACGGTTGAATTTCTTTGGTGTGGTTCAAGATTGAAAAAGAAAAACCAGGTTTGAGTCTCTTTGTTGACCTCCAACCTGTGAAAAGGGAGAGTGAGGTGGTCCGGTGTTGGAGACGGAGAGCTCCGCGGGTTTTTGGTTCCCAGACGCGTCGGCGAGCCTCTTTCCAAGTGGGAAGAGTCTCCACACAATCTGCTACTTAACAGGGGGGCTGCTCCCAGCACTGCCTGCCCCGCCGCGAGCTCTTATGACATCCAGAGCCAAAAAAATGACGTGTAACCTCTCTGAGCGCAGGGAGACACACGAACACACACACTCGGAAACTTTTACATAGTTTTCTGCATTCCTTTCCGGTGATGGAGGGCTTCTGTGCGCCTCAGCCGCGAGGAGACAGCAGCGCAGAGCCGCTTTTCGGGAAGAGGGGGATCATTGGAGGGAAACTGGGAGACCTTTTTTTTTTTAACCCCCTTTTTCATTCTGTGAATCAACGGGAAAATATTACACTGCTAGTAAATTAAACCCTAAGACAGAGTTTCCTTCTAACGCATCATTCAGGAACGACACAGAAGTTCCTGGAGACTTGAGAGGGATTAAATGGAGCACGAACAGTTGTCATGAAGATTCAAATGAATGAAAGGAAAACGGTCTTGATACAAAACTTTTCAGTGTTCAGTGTTTTAGACAGATTGGGGAAAGAAGATGTTACAGCTTTGACATTTCTTCTGTGATTTTTACATTCATACATAACCCCAAATTTCTCCAAGAACAGATCCAGATTCTTAATTTATCCCCCACATTTGATATGGAGCATCAAGAAGAAGTCATAGAAGGCAAGAATGATCCTCACAGGCACAACCCCAAATCTTTCAGGGGTGTGATGCAGTTTGAAGTGTTGAGAAAACAGAATTTGATGGTTTGCAAATAATTTCAATCCTGTAGTCATGCCTAGTTGAAAACTAAGGCAAAGTTTTATGAATATGCAATCACACGGATAAAAAGTTGTGTTATGCTAAAAAAAAGTTAGAGGAACATCTCCAATTAATGAGGTGTATGTCCAATAGGTTAGAAACATGACTGGGTATAAAAAGGACATTTAGAGAGGCTTAGTCTCTCAGGAGGAAAGATGGGAAGAGGTTCACAACTCTGTGAGAGACTGCGTGAGCTAAAAGTTTAACAGTTTCAGAATAATGTTCCTGAATGTCAAATGTGAATGAATGAGTGGATTTCATTATCTACAGTACAGAATATTATTATGTACTATATGCACTATGCATTTGTCCGTTTAGTATGCACTACAGGGACAAAGACCAAAACCAAGACTGGATGGTCCTGATCTTCAGGCCCTCAGGTGGCACTGCATTAACTACAGACAGAATCTCTAGAGTGGAACTCACTGCATGGGCTCAAAATCCCATCACAAACCTCTGTCTGTGAACACAGTTCATCACTGCATCCACAAATGAGGTTAAAACTGAACCATGAAAAGAGGAAGCCAGTTAGAAACAGGATCCAGAAACACCAGAGACTTCCCTGGACCTGAACCCATTTAGGTGGATTGAGGGAAAGTGAACAACTGTCCTATGAGCTGACCAATCAGAGTCTGGCGTTCTTTTTGGAAATCATGGACACTGCATAAAGAGTAGAGAGACAACCCAGCTTGTTCTTAGCTCCCAGGCCAGGGCCAGCATCCCTGATGGTATGGGGATCATCAGAGTCCATGTCACCTGTGAAGGCTCCATTAATGCTGAATAATATACTCTACAATATATGTATTTATTTTTAATTGGATATAAGATTTAATTATTTAAAAACCATCAAATATTTGTATGAACTTGAACACAGAGTCCAAACTCCTCTAGGGTTATATTTAACAGGGTTTACTTTAACATCAAAGACCTCTTGATAACATTTAAATATTGAAATTTGGCCAAGCGCCCAAAAACCTATTGTCTGATTATTACAAAAGCAGTCAAAAGCATAGCTCTGCTGGGAATTACTTAATAACTGTTTGCTCAGATTTGACAAATAATCAAACATTTTGCTCTCTGATTATGTTGAAGTAGGACGCATTATCACTACATCGCTCCATCAGTGGATATTTGCCCAATTCATCAAAGTCCCACCCAAAATGTTCCCCCTCCCCAAATTCAAGATCTGTGAAAATTGATCAAAATCGCCAAATTCTGTGTGATTTCCTGATGATCTGTCATCATATGTCATAAACCAATATTTCACTGTGGTTCCAATTTTCATAAATTGTTCAAATTTGTTCATTGTTTTTGGTTCAGAAGTTCTTAAAGTGTATCAAATGTAAAAATCCGCTCCAAAAATCTGTTGTTCCTGGATGAAACCAAGAAGTTCCAATCGATCTCTGCAAACTTTTGTTTTCGCTCATGTTTCTCAGTGATTAGCTGACAGTTAATTTTCCACGCATGTCGACACAAATCATTACAGAGGTTTTTATGGTCATAAAGCATGTTAGCTGTCAGTCTGGAGGAATATTGGGTTTGATTTTTGAGCAGAGGTTAAGCTTACGGCTCATTTGCTGACAACAAAGTGTTAAATGATGTGAGGTGGGTGTGGACCGATATCTGAACAGGCCTGAGGCTGTTTCTTTTAGACTCTGTGTTAAATAAAAACAGACAACAGCAAGAATCCACCCAGAGTACAAACTCCAGACCGGCATGAGGATGAAACGGACCTGTTTCTGTGACTTAATTTGTTTTCTAATCACAACAGGAAGGGACTATTTACCAGTGGACAGGTTTGGTTAGAGAAATCTGCTCTGGAGAACCTAATATTGACCAGAAAATCTCCCTCTGTGAGGCAGTATCAGCAGATTTCTTAGTAGATGTCGCCCTCTATTGACAAAAACTGTAAAGTCAAGCTGAGACTCCTACAGTAAGGCTGTCTTAGTCTTTCTGAGCCGAGATGATGAAACTTTTTGATTATGTAATATTTTTCTTGTGGTTTGGCACAGATTTTAAGTTGAATATTTTATATTTGACTCCACTAACAATGTTGTGCAGCTTCAGTCAGACATAAAAACATCCACGCAGACATTAAAACACAGCTGAAAGAAATCAAAAATTGACCACTTTCAATGTCAATTATACACTCCTGATCAAAATCTTAAGAGCAGTTAGAAAAATTGCAAGAATTTACATTGAGCACTGTCGGACCTTAAGGCGGTTCTTAGTAGAGCTTCAAAATGCAAAAAGAAGAAATGGGAACAAGAGACCAAAAGTTTTGAGCAGGCAATTTATTGAAAACAACAATTTAACTAAAATAGGCTGGTCATCAGCTGATCAAAAGTTCAAGACCACAGCCTTTAAAAGCCCAAATCTGAGCAAAAATTTGGATTCCATGTCGTTTTTTTGTCAAGCAGTCATCCTGTCAACATCTCTTGATAGCAAAGGCATCTTTGAACATGGTAGGATTGTTGAGCTGCATACACAAGGCCTCTCACAACGTGCCATCGCTGCTGAGGTTGGATGCAGTAAGACAGTCATTTTTCATTTCTTAAGATCCGGAGGGTTATGGAACAAAAAAATCAAGTGGTAGACCCCAAAAAATCTCACCAGTGCTGAGCTGGAGGATCCAAATGTGTGTCTGTCAAGATGCCGGACGATCCTCCTCCCAAATTAACTGCAGCCCAATAACAATCAGACGACATCTGCGAAGGAAGGGCTTCAAAAACAAAAAACATCTTCACGTTTGGACTCTGCAAAGGAGCACCAAACATGGGACATTCAAAGGTGGAAGAAAGTTTTATTCTCTGATGAGAAAAATTTAACCTTGATGGTCCTGATGGCTTCCAACGCTACTGGCATGACAAGGAGATGCCACCTGAGATGTTTTTTACGTGGCACAGTGGAGGGGGCGTCATCATGATCTGGGGAGCTTTCTCCTGTAATGGAACAGTGGAGCTCCAGGTTGTGCAGGGGCGTCAAACAGCAGCTGGCTATGTGGAGATGTTGCAGCAGGCATCCCTCACCACTGAGGGCCCTCGTCTGTGTGGTAATGACTGGGTTTTTCAGCAGGACAACGCAACAATTCACAATGTCCGTCTGACCAAGAATTTTCTCCAGGAAAATAGCATCACTCTTTTGGACCATCCTGCATGTTCCCCTGATCTAAATCCAATTGAGAACATTAGGGGATGGATGGTGAGGGAGATTTATAAAAATGGACATCAGTTCCAGGTAGTGGATGCCCTTCGTGAAGCCATCTTCACCTTTTGGAGCAACATTCCCACTAGCCTTTTGGAAACACTTGCATCAAGCATGGCAAAACAAATTTTAGAAGTAATCAACAACAATGGTAGAGCTCCTCATTACTGAGTCAGTTTTTGACACTTTAATTTCTGTTTTAGGAGGTGTTTTCGGGTTTTTTTGAGCTGTGGTCTTAAACTTTTGATCAGCTGATGACCAGCCTATTTCAGTGAAATTGTTGTTTTCAATAAATTACCTGCTCAAGACTTTTGGTCTCTTGTTCCCATTTCTTCTTTTTGCATTTTGAAGCTCTACTAAGAACTGTCTTCAGGTCCAACTTCTTGCAATTTTTTAACTGGTCTTAAGATTTTGATCAGGAGTGTATTTGTATAAAACCTTGAACGAGCGTATTACTTGTAGTATCAGATTTGCTCCATGAGGTTTAAAAACTAGGAGGTTTGGATTGCTGGTTGGATCTTCACTCCCACTGAGCATTTTTTGGTCTAAAAGAGGTCTAATAGACATCCAAGCCTAGGGAACTGGTCTAAAATCAGGCTACCACTGGTCTAAAAGTTAAAGTTTTTTAGACGTCTAAATTTAGACCAAGTCTAAATCTGGGCTATATCTATACTACACTGTATATTGCTCAACGGCTATCATAATAATTTTGGTTACTTGGAGATCTGTTATGCAGCACAGTTGCTTTTTGAAATAAATAGTTATCGAATAATGGGTTAAAGTGCAACTTCTAAATCCTGTCTAAAAATATACAGAATCTAGACGGTTGAAATTAGGTCTTAAAAAAAAAAAAAAAAAAATAGATGTCTAATAGTCGTCTGTTGCTCAGTGGGCTGAAACACTATCAGTCACTACATTCAGGCTTCTTGGCTGATCATGAGTAGACTCACCTTTTCTGTCAGATCAGAGCTGAAACAGTTCTGACCTGATCGGATGTGAACTCTTTTAGACCTCTGAAGATGTGCTGTGGTCTCTGGCCCCAAGGTTTTAAAGCAGATCCTTTAAGTCCTGGTGGTTATAGGTGGGACCTTCACTGATCAGACGCTCAATCAGACTGAAATCTGTGAAACTTCGAGGCCAAGCCATCACGGTCACTTCTCCAGACCGTCTTCCATCACTCGTGGTCCAGTTCTGATACTCATGTGTCCACTGTAGGAACACTCTTGAAAATATTCATACTTACTCAAGACATTACGGTTATAGATAACATAGACTAACACCTATTAGATTCACATCATTTCTGCAGCAATATTGTGGGAGTGCACTGACCGAGGTAGTAAAAAAGCTTCAACTGATTTTATAACAAAGTCAAAGATATTTTTCTCTAAACTTGTAGAAACTTCCAGATCTTTATGTGCTCAGACTTCTTCAACACAAGCTTTATTTGGACCTCTCTAAAGGGAGCAGGTTCTGTGTCTATTTATCAACTAATAAATTGGTCAGGGGAACAGGTTTTGGTCATGAGAGGCTTTTTTATTGATCCTCAGGTCATCAGAGAGTGTACAAGAAAAATAAATATTGATCCCATGAACATGAAACAATATCCCAGCGTGACACACGGTAACATACGGAGGATTCTTGTCATTTTTACAATAGAGAGAGCGGCTGGCCGGGTTTTAAGTGAAGTAAACGGCTGCAGAAGAGGAAGAGGAGGAGGAGTTAATCTTTCTTCTGGGGGAACGCTGCTGTCACCAGCTCATACACGACATATCCAGTACCTGAAAGACAACAGAGAGGGTAAGTTTAATGTGCGATGGACTAACTTAGTACAAACTGGTGTAGATTTGAGGCAAAGGACAAATACAAATGATTGGCTCATTTCTGAAGGATTGATGAGACTGCTCTTAGTCTTGTCATAAAAATAAATTAAGTCCAGGAGTGCCACACATCACCTCGACCAGTGGTTCTCAAGTCCAGTCCTTGCGGCCCACTGTCCTGCATGTTTTGGATGTGTCCCTGCTCCAACACACCTGATTCAAATGATCAGCTTGTTATTGAGCCATTACAGAGCTTGATAACGAGCTGATCATTTGAATCAGGTGTGTTGGAGCAGGGACACATCCAAAACATGCAGGACAGTGGGCCTCAAGGACTGGACTTGAGAACCACTGACCTAGATTAATATTATTAAGCCTCCAGTTTACTCGTCTGGCCACATAGTTTTAGGATCTTGTTTTTCTTGCGGTGCTTTAAGATATAAGAATCTATTTCTGTTTTTAAAAAAGGAACAATTTGGTAGAGAAAGTTGCCTAAAAACTGTTGAGAAGAGGAAGGTTTTCTCACCCAGGACAGTGAGCATCATCGTTGTTCTGTACAGCAGAGCATCAACAGTGCCTCCTTTTAAGTGAACTGGAATCCCATTATCCTCCTGCAGGACAGACGCATGATGGAAAGGTTACAACAGCAACACATGACAGTGAAGACCTGAGCTAAAAGTTAAAAACTTTTGAGTACAACAGGATGTCAAAGCTGAACAAGATTTTTTTTTATAGCAATGATCCAAAATGCAAAAAAAACCTCAACAATTTTATCAGATTTGACTCATCGAGGATTATTCTGACCTTTTGGAAAAGTGCAAGAATTTATTTATGACTTTTATCAGCAGCAGAACCTTCATCAGAGTCCAAAAGAGACCTTAAATCCACTCAGAGTTCTTCTTTAGTTCTTCCCGACATATGATTTATTCTAACCTTGAAGCAAACCTCCCAAACAACAGAGACTCTTTGGTGTCCTCAGTGTCTCATCATGCATACTGGGTCCAATCACAGCAGGTTATAAAAAGCATATTCCAGCAGCCACAGCGGTGTTAGGACAAACTGGTCATAAAACTAGTCTGTTTAGTCTATGAGTCACTTTTGCAGCTGCTTTAATTACTTTTTTCTGTTCTGCGTGTTAACAGCTGCGGCGTCAACTTTCCGCCATGTTAACAGTGAAAGCAGCTGATCTCGGCATAAACTCTCCTGTTCCTTCAGTGAACAGAGGAAGTTCTGTGTTTGGGTATTAAGCTCACCGCAGGTCAGACACACGGTACAACATGCAGAATTAATCAGCACTCCACTCTGTTAAGAGTGCTTTCACACGCTGAAGACTTATCTTTGGAGCTAAAATAACTCCAGTTTCAGGGCTTCATGAGGAGAACCAGCACTAAAGAAATGAAACACGAGTCATTCTGTATGTCTGGCACATAACACAAAGAGACTCCTCAGCTCACAAAACATTTCTTTTTCCGACAGATTATGAATTAACACTTCAAAATCTGACGCAGTGAAGCTAATTTTCCAGTGTAAAGCTGCATTTTCAGCAAATTTCTCCAGGAGTTTGAGTAGACCAGAAATTTTAACAGCAGGGACAGGATTTCAGCAATGATGACAATGATGTACTTGTGGCTTTGTTTTACCCAGCAGAAGGTTAAAAAGATTTGGAGATTGTTTAGGTTTAAATTTTAGACAGTCAGCAAAATTATGTACCGTATTTTTCATACTATAAGGCGCACTTATTATCCTTTTGGCTTGTCGGAGCACTGCAGCTACCGTAGTCTCGTGGAGTTATTGAATGAATTAAATAAAGTTTGCCATATCTGAGTGTTTTGTTTGGCTTCATGCGCTTTATAATCCGGTGCGCCTTAATGTATGAAATAGACGCGAATAGACGCTTTCATTGATGGTGCGCCTTATAATCAGGTGCGCCTTATATTGCGAAAAATACAGTATGTTGTAGAGATTAGGGATGCATCGACCCGGTATTTGATATCCCCATACTGAAGACAATTCTAGATCGGGTATCGTGTCAGTGTGCCCGATGCATAGGGGCCGATCTATTCAGTCTAAATCTATGCTATGCCATGAGTGGCATCCATAAGTAAACACGCTGAGCGGATGCCCATGTCATTTTCAGCCTACAAACTCGACGGCCACTTACAACACCTGTGCAGTAAACATTTCGAGGGGCAGTGGTAAAACTGCAGGTTACAACAAAAAATAATTCAGCACAGCTTTTTTGTATCGGAACTGGATTGGTATCGGCTGATACTATACTGTAGATATCTGTATTGGTATCAGAGGTAAAGAAAAAAAAAGCAGATCAGTGCATCCCTGGTCAATTAGTCGACTAACCCTTTAGACCAATTTATCGATTATTCTAATGATTATTTTTTATTAACCGATTAATATAACAATGAATTTAACCAAAAAAGCAAGTAAAAACTTGTCCTCTTAGTTTAATTCAATGATTTAGTCAAGAATCTCTTTAAATCAAACAAAACAAAACATTTAGGTAATAAAATCAGAGATTTTGCAGGGCGCGCTGGGCAGTTTTGGGGTTACCTTGTATGGTAGATATGAGCTAATTATGAGAGTATTTGTGATTAAATTGCTCATCCAAATAAGTATAAGTGAAGCTGCACACTTTTTTGTTTTGTTTTAACAATAACAAATGGTAATAATAAATAATAGCTACGATATGCCTTGAAATTATTTAGTCCACTAATATTAAAGTCCTCATCTGTTTGACATGCTCTCCCGTATGAGGCTCTCTGAACATCTGTGCATGCAATACAGCACTGAACGCATCACTTCGAGACGGTGAAAGACTATCAGCGTAAATATTATATCTCAGGTTTGTTTTCCTTTCATTGAAGTGTTCATTTTGCAACAACCACTGCTTTAATATAGTTTACAGCTTAAACCGACCTGAATCATCACAAAATGTAAGATAGGTCTGAAATACTGGAGAGGCCCAAGAAAAATGGGAGTGTTGGCAGGTATGCACTCCAGAGCAAAAATACAGACAAGCTGAAGGAGCTTTAAATGAGACCTGTACTTCAGTAAGACCCCAGCAAAGACACAGACTGAAACATTTCACTGTGGAATGAATACCTTAAGTTTCAAAGTCTGAATTAAAGTAAATAAGGTGAATAAATGAACTTCTTCAGAACATCCTGATTTTCTGAGCTGCACCTTATTTCTAACATTTTTATCTACAGACAGAGAAATCAACACTGTCATGATGTTTTTGTTGCATACAGTCTTGGTCTTAACTCTATGTGGTCTGGACTAAAACCATCTTCCATCCATTAAGAAATGGATTATAATCGCATCGTTGATGTATTTACGAACTTCAACCTTTAGTATCTTCTTTGACGTTTTGTACTCTGGCCTTGAGATGTCCCGCTAAAGTGTAATATCAGTGGACTGTCAAAGCTTTATGGTCCCTTAAAAAAAGCTCCTGGGACTTGAAAGTCCTGGATAGTTTTGGCGGACCTGCAGCTTTGGATTGAAAAATTTCAAGGTTATTCTCCTCTTTAGACAGCTGGTTATCAAAACCAGAGGAAAATACTGTCAAGTATACCTCCATAGAGAAGCTGTTCATATATTCGTGTCAGTCTGGACCTGTTATTGAAGCTTTACCTGAAAGACTTTCTGTTTCTGGGGGACTTTGTTGTCGACCTGTCTCCGGACCGAGCTGAAGATGGTCCTCCGAGCCACCTGCTGGAGAAACAAAGACAGCAGCAAAGTCATCCTTCACGTCCGCATCAACGAGGTGGGATTAACAAGATTATACTGTGACACTATCTTTAATTACCAGTGAATAAACCGTCAAAAGCCCATTAAACGGACACAGAAGCTAATGCTAACTCTTCCGGCGTTACCTGGCTGTGACCCCGAGCTCACCGTTTCCTGCCAAATATATCCTCACTTTTCTTTCTATCGCTTATTTATAGAGTTAGAAACAACCATCTTGGTTCACAGATAACTCTAGAATAAAAAAACACGGGTGAAAAAGAGCATATACTTACAATTATCTGTCTGTTCATCTCGACGCTAAGTCGCCTCTGTCACACAAGGACACCGGAAAACTTTACTTCCGTTTTACTTCTTCTTCGTTAATTTTAAAAATTGTCTGTGCTGACGCGGCGCGATCTGCTGCCCCCTGTAGGCTTTAACAGGAACTAATCTTTGACCCAACAGCGCTTTATCTGAAACTAGAAGGTTGAACATATTGCCCGTATTTTTTAACCTTCTAAAAACCCTTTAAGTGTTTTATAGAATTATCAGTATCATTATTATTCTAACCCAAATTTTTGACACTTAACGTCAATCAATCAATCAAACTCTATATACAAAGCGCTTTTTCTACAGGAATGTGACTCAAAGTGCTTTACAGTCAAGTTAAAAACGAGAACAAAAAACTACCCCAGATGCCCCCTTACCCCCTAACCCCACCCACACACATGCCAACACACCCACACATACACACACTAAGAGAATGGACACGAGGCTGAGTACAGATGCAACAGTTGAGAAGGCACCATCAGAGGAACCATCAGCATCAGAAGCAGAGAGCCGCCCACAGCCACAGGACACTGACACAGGGCCAGTGGAGGGATGTGTCAGACAGCAACCTCCACCAGAAACCCCCTGGCCTGGCCCCTGCAACCACAAGCGACCACTGGTCCCGGTGCCGAGGGCTCCCTCAGAGGAAACACTGGGGGTCCTAAAAATGATAAAAGGATAAAAACAAGTAAAAACTAGAATATGAATAAAACACGGGCCTAAGATAAACCTAGGCTAACTAGAAAAAATGAAGATAAAACAAATAAATATCAACTAAAAGCTAAGCTCAAAAAAGAAAGACATGATTCTTGATTTCCGTAAGAATCGACCTGCCACAGCCCAAACCTTTGTTAATGGTAAAGCTGCAGTAGTCAGTCAGTACAAATACCTCGGTACTATCCTGGATGACAAAATGTCCTTGGAGACCAACTCAGATGCCATCTACCAAAAGGCAAATCAGAGGTTATTTTATCTGGGGAAATTGAGGTGTTTTAACGTTGACAAAAAGCTTCTTAAAATGTTTTACTCTTCTTTTATTAAGTCCATTTTAACCTTTTCTATGATATCCTGGTTTGGTAATCTCAGTATCACAAATAAAAACAAGCTGAGAAACATTGTGAAACTTTGCCAAAAAGCTACTGGCATGAGTCTTAATGATCTTGACTCTGTTTTTAAATCCAGAGTCACTCAGAGGGCAAAGGCCATTCTGGCGAACCTCCTCTGTCCTCTCCATACAGAAATTCAGCCTCTACCGTCAAAGAGAAGGTTCACTTTTACTTGCAAAGCCAATGAAAACAGGTATCTCAAACCCTTCGTCCCAACAGCCATTGGTCTTTTGAATAAGCTGTAGGTGAGACTGATGGAAACAATGCACCCATGAAATGGTGACTATATGTATTCACATGTATTTATTTGTATTCATGTGTATTTATTTATATTCTCTCTGTGATGTGAGAACTGCGTGTGTTTTATCTTCTGTTGCAAACCAAATTGCCCTTAGGGGACATTAATGAATTTCAAATCAAATAACCCTAACTCTTGTCAGCTTAAAACATAAATATTGAGTATACTAAACTGGCCTGCCTGCAGTCTTGACTTGTCTTCCACTGAAAACGTCTGTTATATCTAAAGACTCTGTCGTCTTCAGAGTTTCTACCTGGGGTTCAGTTCAGTCATGGTCATGTGACAGAAAGAATAATAAAAATAAGATTATATTCACACAGGTGAGGCAGAAAAGCTTGTTCTGTTTTAAATCAAAAATTTATTCTTTAAAGCAACAGCAACAAAAGAAAAGTCAGGTCCAGTGCTTCTTAAAATTTGCAGTAAACAGTTCAGCTTGTTGACATGTCATAAAACAGGACAAACACTTTAACACAGCACATTTAACATGCATCTTATATTTGAAGATGTTTTAGCTCATTTGAACTCTCAGAGAGTGTTTGAAGTTAGTGGCAGGAATTGTGTGAGTGTGTGTGTGCGTTAGTTAAGATTTAAGCTGTGTAAACGATGTGCAACACCTTTAGTCACATGTATTTCGTCAAACTGTGTCACTATTTTTTCATGCTGTGTTGTTTGTTTTATTATTGCATGTGAATGACAATGAATGAAACAGGAACATTGGGTAACAGTGCATTTTCTGCATCACATTTAAACACGCTGGCATGTACAGTTCCTCAGACTAAGACAGAAACTTTTAAAACCCCCAAAACCCAGAGCCCTAATGTGCAAATATCAGCTTTCCCTCACAAAGATTTCTCAGAACTCTTCAATAAATATGAAGAAAATAAAGATTTCATATCACAGCTCCCCACTCCCAAATATTTTGTGTTATTTACAGACAGGTACATCACAGTGAAAGCATTATTTTAGTTTGAAAGTTGGCTGATGTTGCAGACGAAACGAGGCACAAAGACGAGCCAGCAGCTCGATAATCACATTAACATCTCCAGCATGCAGCTCAAGATTGCTCCAGCTCAACCAAACTACACCTAACACAGGTTTAGAGATCCAAGAAGGTTTAGAATCTATATTATTAGATTTTGAAGGATCTATTGAAACCAACTAACATTTGTGTTTAGAGGCAGTTGTTCCTGTGACATATCAAGAGAAGATCTATCAAAAGTGGCTGCAAATTTTTGGCTAAATTTTTGGCTTTCTGTTCACTTTGGCAAATATAACAACCACTACCATACCCCTGAAGAAGTTTGACTCTTTAAAGACCCACTCCGATAGAAATCCTGTATGTCTACATATTCATATGGCATTTTTTAATGCTGGAGGACATATCATGAAGAAAACTAAGTGCAAAATTGCATTTCTGGATATTTTTGCATTCAAATCACTGTGAACCTCTCACCGACCCAAACAGCAGGTTCAGACACAGTAGAATTTTCTACATCACAAGTGCTCCATGCTCCACCCCCAGTGCCCTGCTTAGAGGGTTGCAATGCATGTCCTCAAAGACATTAGCGTTCGAGAGCTGAATAGCTCCTATGTTACCTGCCACTTCTGCTGCACCAGCAATGTTAGGCTGCAAGCTAGTGATAAAAGGAGTAGCGCTGTCTCCGCCCACGACTCAGAGGCAAATTGCTAATGAGGTGCTGGAGCTCTGCAGAAGAAAAGCCCTTAAAAATGACAAAATGATTTAGACTAAAAACTTCATAATCCACTGTAACAATACACTGTAAATAGTAAAAAAACAACAACAACAAAACAATCAGAGTGGGACTTTAAAGAACTTACTAAGATTTTATATGTTTAAATTTATCTTCCTGTCTGGCCTGTTTGTCTCTCTTTCTGAGCTGGAGAGGAGCCGGCGTCTCAATTAGAAATGTCGGTGCTGTTGTTGCGGTTTCCACATTTGTGGTGGATGACGAGCAGAATGACACCCAGGAAGAAGCAGACCGAGCCCACAGTGATGTAGGCGATGCCGAGGAATGGGTTCTTCCCCCCCATCCAGGAGATGGTGCTCAGGATCATCCGCTTCCTGCCCTCAAAGCTGCGAACGGGATAGTCTGGATTCAACTGGTTAAAGATAGAACTGAAAACAGAAAAGGTTCAAATGTTTGTTGAATGCAAAGTTAAATCTTTGTATTGTAGCAGAAGCGCCCTCTGTTGTTTAAAAAAGGGTAATACCGTTCAATTTTCATCTCATCACTTTGAACCTTCCTGTATCAGATTTACAACTGTCTTATGAGATTCTAAAACCACTGTAACACCCCTACAGTTCACGTTTAAAACATTTTTAAATGTCATGTCTGTAAAGCAGTTTGTTCGGCTTCATCCTCTCATGTTTTCACTTTAAGGATACTGTAGACCACCTCCAGAGTGTAGTTTCCTCTGGGCAGAGTTGGAACCATCTTGGAGTCCTTGATGGTGCGATAGAGTTTGCGGAAAGTGGGCAGGGCGGCCGTTCTCATCCACACAATGAAGTCCTCATTGATGAAACCGTTGTTGGAAGCGTTCTTATCCAGCTCGTACACAGGTTTGCGCCAGTTCACCGGCTTTGTTGTCCCTGAAATAGAAATAGAAAATAGAAACAATTCTAATTAGTTTAAAATCTCCAACTTGCCCCAAAGATTTTAATGCATTTTGGACTGCAAGTTACTGACAAAGGATAAGACCTGCAGCAGCACAAACAAAGGCTTCTTTTACAATTTTCAAAAATATCTCACTGTGAGAGTTTTATTTTGTTACGTCATGAGTAATTTCCTAAAATTCCTGAGAAATGCAGCTTTTGATGATCAGTCAGGAGGAAAAAGAGCTTGACTTGCTGCAGATTTGCACTTATGTTTCAGCACATGATGGATTTGGACTTTGGGTTTCATGACAATAACAAAATCTGAGAAGTTCCACTCAGACTCATTCTAAAAAAGCTCTTCTTCTCTTCATTAACATGTTCAGGTATAAAAAAATTACAGTAAGAACAAAAAAAAGCTTCTTCTACCTTGGAAAACAGCGGTGAGGTTTGCATTGTCTCCTCCGGGGTTCTTAAACTTCACGTACTTGTCGGTAAACCAGGCGATGCCCGTGTTCGCTAGAGAAATCTGGACCTTTGTGCCGTTGGGATCGTTGTAAAAAAGTTCCAGTGTGTCTGTCGAATAAGAAGAACAAGATAGTAAGAAAAACATATTTCCAAACTATACTGATAATCACCCAAGGAGGAAAAACTGTCTCACCGTTGAACATGCTGTTGGCGATGGCTCCACATGGTGCGATCGGCTTGTTGTCGTGCATTGCATACGGCTCACACTCCTTACTGGGTTTCTGAGGAAGACGAGAAAAATGAGTCTGAATCTGTGTTCATACTGCAGCTCAAACCAGTCTGTTGTTATGAATGTTGTCCAAACCGATTTGAGGAAGCCTAGACACCAAAATGAAATAAATAGAGGCTATATTTTAGTGAATCACGTAAGAAGGTAGAGTAATAGTCAAATTTTTACAAACGAGTCTACGTCTGACATACATATTCCTCTGCCGTGTGACTGGAGGTTATTTTTACCAGCAGGGAGTCCATGTCTCCATGAAGCTGACTGTCATCTCTAGATTTGACATAGCGGCGGTGGTTTTGGTAGAAGTTTGAAAGGCCGTAGTACATGTAGACGTTCCCCTGTTGGTTCAAATAAAGGTTAGATATCAATACTTTTTTAGAGTCACAGTATCAAAAGTTCTCTGAGTTTACTCACTTCGTAGGGCTGCTCCAGATAGAAGGGTATGGTGCAGGTACAGGGCTTGGTGCTGTTCCAGCTGTAGTTCTGTGAGCAGTTGAAGCAGGGGCTGGACATGTCCACTCCTGTGTAATCAATCTGAACAAACAGGCAAACATTTTTAGTCTTGATAATTACGGATTTAGGGTTGGGGGCTTACCTTCAATCTGTAAATAGTAGTTGACTTTTAGAGACATGACAAATGAGATGACAGACAATTGGATTTCCCTTTGGGGATCACTAAAGTTCTTATTCTTATTTAACTACTATCACTTTATTATTTAACTACTCTTGTTCATGCATTTGACCATCATTAGTCAGCAGAAGAAGACTTTTTCATGTCTAAATATGAATTAATAATATATCCTGTCCTTGTAAACTATCTACAGTGTAAATGCTACATGTAATCAATTGTCAAAATATACTTATCACAGATCATGTTTCACACATATAACATCAACAGTCTTTAGGTCATCTTTGACTTACTATGTATTATTGACAAAATGTATAGCCTACTGTTTTGTTACCCATCATCTTCAGCAAGCAATCTCCTGTTTTGACAGATTTATTATTATAACAAGGGCTGAACTACTGCCACGTAAGGGCCGATTTTACCTGCGGTACCTAATGTGTCAGTTAAAATGTTAAAAGTTTTTGTGTAGCCGTGGTGAAAGTAAATCTTCAAAGAGCCAAATAAAAATCACTTATTTTTTAAAGGGGAATTCGACTGAAGTGGCCTTAAGACGAGTCTATTGGAAAGATACTCATGATGCTGTGTCTCTATAAAGAATAATAGATGTCAATTGTGCTCAGGGGTATTTTTGCCTCTGTAAACATTACCTCGAACTCCTTGATGTTGTTGGATGTCACGTACAGGCCGATACCGATGGGGATAAAGATGAGTCCGATGATGAAGAAGGCAGGGAGGACGGTGCCTGCGGTGAGGATGGGCTGCCAAGCGGGGAGTCTCTGCTGCTTGAACGCGGTGTTTTCGGGCTTCTTGCTCCGCAGAGCCCCGCCACCAGGCCCGGACACGGTAATATGTCCATCCTCGTCTTTGGCGTTGTAACTTGACGCCATCATGACTGCTGATCGAGAAAATCGAAGTTATTGCTAACGTTAGCCAGCTACGACCGTTAGCTCCTCACCGTTACTGCTCAGTGTGGACTACCCTGATTTAAAGCCTTAAACGGCGCTCTGACATAAGACAAATAATGACTTAGAAGATTAAATTAAGTCATTATTTGTCTTTGGTTGTATGGTTTTATTCCATAACTGCATCGCTATAACGCCAGCTCGAAAGCTAGCAACGACTGTACTTTCAGGAAATAAACAAAAAGTAATGCGCAGTGAAGGCAACGCTTGGTTACATCACTATTTGATGGTAGTTACTGCTGCGTTCAGTTACAATGTGGAGTGTCGGAAATATTGACGTACTACACGACAGGCTTTCAAGAGTACCCAGATGCAGCGCCAAGATGGCGGACCCAAAGATAAAAAAACACATTTACAAAACGCAATAAGTTTCCGCATTACCTCCGATTGGCGGACCCAAAACATGAACTTTGAACTTCTGCTTTGCGATGCCAGAACAGTAGGTGGCGGTATGTACCTACACTTTCTGACGGCAAAATTTACAGAAGAAGAAGAACTCTCAGGAAGTTTGAAAAGAAGCAAGCCGTCCGCATTCATTCAATCTCACCTCCGACCACTCAAACTAACCCTAACCCTGCATTCCATTGTTTCCATCATGGGAAATCTAAGTGACGCTCTCAAATTAACAGGAACATTGCGCAGAAGATATGTCCTGGGCAATGGACTGAGAAAACGGGCAGAGATTTGGAGGTATTTGTGCATGCTCTATATTACAGTTGAAAAGTGTATAACAGCTTTCCAATGCTGTTACTTGTGGCGAACACCTTTTTGCTTGAGTTGATGCGTGCCCGCAGGTGGAATAATGTCACATGTCACACACATTTTCTGTTGTTTTGATTTATTTACTCATTCATCATTTTATGTGCGCACCTCTCCTAATCAACCCACCCATTAAATAGACGGGCACAATAGCACCATCTGCTGGCACAAAAAATACATAACAATAAACTGCAAAACCCCAATCTGGCTCCTACAAAGTGTATGTGACAAGATGATTAACGTTTGCTTTTGTTAAATCAGGGCTTCCCCAGCCAGGACTTCGGCTCAGACTGTGGCATATTCATGTTGATGGTAGGTCATAACGAGCTGTAATGCACAAATATTGTATCTAGAATAACTTTCCAACGTGGACTTTTTTAAAGTTATCTCACATGTTGTCTCATAATTTTTTTTTAAAGTCTGCCATGTACATCGTTATGGAGTCACAGTTTGACTACTCAGTTGTAAGTACTTTTCAACACGCAGTGTCATCCTCAAGATTGTATTTTGTATTGTGCACTAAAATGAAATACAAACAACAATTTCAGCATGACATGCCTGTTTGGCGGCGATGGTGGTGCCTGTTGCTCCTGGAGAACAATTCTTTGAACAGGTAGACAGTTTAAGTAAACTAGATGTCCTAATTAACTGGAAGACAATCAATATATTGTACTTAAAGACATATTGTCATTACAGTTGTGGGAAAATCTTCGCCCACTGGACCAAAGAATGTCAAGAGCTCATTGCTGGAAAGCATACTCCGGTCTTCAGTCTAAAGAGGAAGGCAGAGCAGCAGGACACAGAGGTTAGGAAATTGCCTTGTAAAAACAGTATTATCTCAGTGGGAGTCCTTCAAAATGCACACAGTTGTATGGATCAACATTGTCTCGATGTATTTGGTAATTGATGTTACTTTTCAAATTGCCTTGTCAAGGAAACCATGAAGCAGACGGTATCGGATGTCCAAAGAATGTGCATGGCAGATTCAATGCAATTCTGTGTCTACCAGACATCGAACAACACAGGAGAGAGGTGTGTTGCAGACTCAATTTAATAAATGCAATTATCGGGGCCTATTCAGTGATTTTCCATGAAGTGACCACTTTTACATATAGTTTAAATGCACGAATCATGCAGGAAAATTATTTATACATTCAAATGTGCTGCAGAGGTATAATCAATTGGACAGCGTGTTTGTTTGATATTATGTTTGTCTCTCATTTGATCAGATTGCTTTACCCTGAGGTAAACGTCATAAAATGGGTCCAGTGCAAGACGTGCAGGGGCTGGCTGCATCTGGATTGTGCTGGGATTGAAATGGAGCCGTTTGACTGCGGGTGCGAGGACTCCATTGAGCATCCTCGGTATAACATAATTTATCAAGGAAACATAGTATCAGTCAAAAATACGAGGCTCAAAGGATGAAAAAATGAGGGCTTGCTCTTTTCTTATTTCTCTGCAGGATCAAGGATGCTGTTGACAGTTGAGGAATTCATGCTGTCTTTTCTAAGACACAGATCAAGGTTGCTTTTGAATGCACTATCAGTTGTTAAAGCCACCGTTTCTTTTTCAGATGATTACATTTTTGTCTCTTGCTCTTTGGTTTCAGACATTACACGATGATCTACTGTCTGGAAAGATCCGCTCCAACAGAATGTTCCTTTGGAGGAATCCCGCCACCTCACTCCGACTAAAGCAGCATCTTAAGATAAGGACACTAAGTTGGAGTGAGCAGCGCGTAAGTAAAAATGCCATCCATCATGAGTATTTTTACTCTCAGGGGTGTTACATTTGAAAGGTGTTTACTTTCTGTGTTTTTCTTCAATAGATGTTCGAGCTCCTGCGGTTCATTGAGGTGGCAACAAACATTTCTAAAAAAATAAAGAGAGGCGAGATTCATCTGCTTGATTTCGTTTTTGACGTCATGCTCCCAGAGGTGAGTAGATCAAACTATATAGCTTGCTTTGAAAAATGATGATATTGTTAAGAGGTTGTTCTTATTCATTTGGAAAGCTCAAGAACAACAATTAACCCATACTGCATAACTTCAATTGTTCACATTATTTGACTGTTTTTCAGCTTTTGATCAAAGCACTGAAGGAGCATGGCATCAACCGGTTCAGAGCAGAGCTGATGATGGCCTGTGGCAACGTGTTTTAAGCCCCCCACCACACCGACGGCAGTGCTGAATTTTGTATATATATATATTTTTTTACTGTTCACAATTTTGTTTGGAAAAAATTAAAGAAATCTTCAAAGCAGTTGTATGACAATTTCCCATTTCTTTACACAGTCTGTAATGATATCGCTATTCAATTGTTTTTGCTATATGGCTCTTCTGAACCTTAAAGAGATCATGTGACTTGTGTCTCTACAACTATTGTATACTTGGATTTTGCACAGTCAAGCAATCCTGAAGAGGTTCACCAGGAAGCACACCATTTCATAAATTATGTCCCTGGTTACACAATGTTACTAAAGGATGGGGGGAGTAAATTTGTGCAGCAACATAAGCACTCTCATAAAACATAATTATGAACAACAGAAAATATGTGAGGGTCAGGGCAACATTGTTGACATTAAACGAGGTCCTAATAGGAGTGGAGAAACAAGGTCACAGAGAAGTTAAGAAACATTGATGTGCTGTGTAATAAAGCTATTGGAGAGAAAAGTTAGAAAATACTGTTATATGATGTGTAACGAGAGGTTAAAACAGTCCATACTTGTAGCAAACTCTTACAAAAGAATTTGAGTAAGATGATAACTTCTACATACATTTACCTATTCTGACAAATTATCAGAATATGAGGACATCAGGTTATATATACATATTACTGTAAACTTCAGAATTAAATCAGAACAAAACAGTAGTCATAATTAATACATAAACGTTTTATTTTGATTTTTAGCTCAATAATAAATTTAATTCGATTCTTATGGAATGAACGGAGCAAAAAAAAAAGGATCCGGCGACTAAATCCGACTACCTGAAGTATTTCGGCGCCGGAAGTCCGCCAACGAGAAAGCCTTTCCACCGGAAGTAATTGTTTTGGGTCCGCCAATCGGAGGAACTTATTGCGTTTTGTAAATGTGGTTTTCTATCTTTGGGTCCGCCATCTTGCGCTGCATCTGGTCACCTCTCCAGGCTTTACCAAGAGGTTTGCCAACAATTTTCACAAAAGATTTTACTTATGGACTTATCATGGACAAAAAAACAAAATTGTTCTATATTAGTGAAATATAAAAATATAAATTTATATAAATATAACATTCACAAATCGAAACATTTTGATATAACATTCAGTCAATCATGACGAAAACGCAAATGCACAAAAAGTTAATGAAAACAAACAAAAAAATCACAAAATAATAGTAATAATAAATATGTAAAAATTTTCAAATATGGAAGGACATTGTAAAAATTTCAAAAGAAATCTGCTCTGTTTTCCCTCAGAGAATTAGTACCTCAGATTAAAAGGAAAAAATCAAAATTAAAGTGTTGTTAATTCGTATAAACAGAGAGGATTTATTTTACGCCTCTGTATTAGAAGAATACAATACAATACAATACTTTTAACGTCTTTTCATATGACTGAACTGAGGGGAAATGAAGAGGATGTATTGATAAAAAGAAAAACAACAGTGTTTGATTTGGTGTCAATACAACTTTATTTTTTGTATCAGACAAACCAGCAGTTGGATAAATAAAAAGATTATGTCATTGTTTATCCTCCTATCACCTGAGGTATTACAAGCATAGCTTATTGTTAGCTAATACAGAGATGTAAAATAAATTCTCTCTGTATTTGAAGAATACAACACAATACTTTTCAGATCTTTTCATTTGACTGAACTGGGGGGAAATGAAGAGGATGTATTGTTAAAAAGAAAAACAGCAGTGTTTGATTTGGTGTCAATATAACTTTATTTTTTATATCAGACAAACCAGCAGTTGGATAAATAAAAAGATTATGTCATTGTTTATCCTCCTGTCACTTGATGTATTACAAGCATAGCTTATGGTTTGGTGTCCCAAAGTCCAAAATTCAACTCAGTGGACTAAAAGTGGTACCAGGTATACTGTATGTGAGTCCCTTCTACGAAATTTGGTATTTCTATAAGAGAACACTCCACAGTGTTGTTTACAATTTCATATATGTGCATTTTATATTCTTGTGTTTATTATAACATCAAATACACCTCCAATCTACCAGCTATCATTCAGTTTCTACTTTCCGAACACTTTCAATCACTTTAAAATCCAGCGTAAAACAATACTTTTAGGATCTGAGGACATACCAAAAAAAAAAAAACCTGTTAAGAATTTTATTGTTTCCACACCATGGCAAAACAACTTATAACTGAGATACAAAAAAAAGAAGTCTAATAAATTGATGTAAGACAACAAGAAGTCAGTCTTTAAAAAGAAAAACTGAGGCCCTAAAGACCTTCAAAGTAAAATGTTTTACTGTGTGCATGCAAGAAAAAAACTTGTGAGCACAATACAATTTTCTCATCAGAACATCTCATTGTACCAATAATTGATCAAATGGTAATAGGTTTTTCTTTTGTGTGCACAAATTTATATATTTTGTACATAAGATATGAAACAAAACAACTTCAGCTTGTGCACACAAGATAATTAAATGATGTTGAGGGGGAAAAGGGCCTGGATGAACACCAGATATAACATATGATAATTTTTTTTACTCCATCAGACAAAGTCATAAGCCAGCTCTGCAACTGCAGTCTTTCTACATTTCCCAACAATCTCAGATACACTTGACCAATCATAGTCCTTTATCTAGAAACAGGAAGGAGTCAGCCTGACAGTAAACAACTGAGATGACAACTTCTACAACAGGGAGGTCTGTCACATCCAACAACAATGATATTGATTTGGAGTCTTTTTAAAAAGGCTAGACGCTGAGTAAAATTTTCGTATTGATACAGATTTAAAGCTGTAGATTTTGATTTGTATGGTTTTCTATAAATTTCAACCAAAGTATTTGTTTATATTTTTATAATAATGGATAAAAATGCAATCTCAAGCATTAAAGAAAACTTTAACATAACTTTAACTTTCTTGGAGGGGATCTTGTGACCCCCCATCAGTGTTTTATGACCCTCACTTTGAAAACCAGTGATCCAGCTTACCTCAGTACCATTGTGTACTGACTCTCTCCGTTCATTTGTTTCATGCTTCAACTTTTATGTATCATGTCTCACTCAGACGATACCAGTAAAGCATATTATCTGAACACGAAGGTCCTGAGGTTTAATCTTCCATCCTGCACCTCCAGATTTCCTCTCGTGACATCAGAGATCTGACCTCAGCGTCGACTGTTTGCAAAGAAGGCCTCGATCAGCAGACCTGTGGAGGAAAATTACGATAGAAAAGTGTGTCCTTGAAGGCCACATTATCGTTCAGATGTCATCCATATAAACATCTTATATTCAGCACTTCAGCTAAAAACTTATAACTGCCAGTTTTGTTCACGCAGAGGCAGAAGAACTCAACAAATGTGTCAATCATTGTGCCAAAAAGCGCAGTTCGTCAGGTGGCCACTTGAAGCTGGTCTTAAAACCCAAGGAAACCCCATTAGAGGTCAGAACAGATGTCCTACTTTACAGCAGAAATAAACATGTTTACAGCCTGGTTTCGAAAGCAGTTTTAGTCTCTAAAGTTTCTTCCACTTTTAAAAGCTTCGTATTTCTTTTTATTTGATGATTGCTGGTCTACTATCCAGATTAATCTGCTGTTTTTGAGCAGGTTCGTGTTTCAGTTTGCCTTCAGATTGTCTCTGAGCAGTTTTACTCACGTTTCCATTTTTCTCACCTGGCTAAAACCTCTTCTGTTTTTGAGGAGACTCCTGAACTATAGTGTTGAATCACTGATCTGATGCATGGACACTGAAAATGATCATCGGTTTTAGCCTTTTCAAGTTAAAAAAGATATTCAGAGTTGCTTATTTCAGGGTCTGCAAGGAGAGTTAAAAATCCTCCACCTGGTTTCCATCCTTTTTCTCAGAGGAAACTGTGAACAAGCAGATCAGACTCAGATGTGATTTTAATAATCCTGCTCAGCCTCTGATGTTGTTCCCGGGACGAGTATTTGATCCACTTAAATCTCTCTGCAGCCGCCCCAGGGGAGTCAGGGCTAACACACTCTTACTGAGGGAAACACTCTGCTTGGATTGAATCAGTAATTTACACTCTCTACATGTTTACCCTCCTGTTTTCCAGATGCTTCTTCCTGACTCCATTACCGTCCCATCTCTCAGGCCTCAGTGCATTGCTCAACATCCTCTCCTCACCATCCTGTTTCTGCAGATATCAGCAGTATTTTCCTCTCTCTGTTTCCTCTGACTGTTTGGGAATTAAAGCAGCAGTTTGTGATAATCAGATCCTTAGTTTTGGTCCCTAACCTCCTGTTTGCGAACACAATAACCTGCAGGTTTTGGTTTATTGACAAGTGCAACAAGAAAACAATGAGAGGATGTGGGGCACTATTTTGGTGGAATTAATTCTCATTTTGCATGTGAAGATTTCAAAACTGAATCACTTTATTCCTGGTGAAAAGAAGCCTTTTTGTATTTTTATCGCAGTCCATTAGAGGGAGCTAGATGCTCAGTCTGTAACCACAGAAATTTGACATGATAGAGCAAAGACAAAGTAATTTGTTCTACGGGGGCAGATTCAGATTTTTGACCAGGGAGATTGACCTGACCTAAGCAGGGGTGGCATAAAGTATATGCACACACAGAAACACTATTTTGAAGCCAATTTAAAGAAGATTTAAAAGTCGACCCTGAATTCCCCTCACTGGGAGCGTATACTGAGGTGTACTTTACAAGGGGAAGGAGAAAGATCCAAACTAGCTCTCATATGTTCACATTAATCACAGACAACACCAAAATGCAGAAAAAAAACATGACAATTAACATTTTTGGTGACCATTGCTATGCTCAAATTTGTAATCTGAGTCCTCTTTTTTGATGGACCCTTATCGGTTTGCATTTCCACAAAATTGCAATACTGCTAACCCTTGTGTAACCCTTTGATTTACATCCGCTCTTAACGCTCAGTGGCTAAAAACAGCCACTGACATTGACTGCTGTAAAAACATATTGGATTCATATTTATTCCAATTTTTTTTCATATATCTCTTAATTAACTTCTGCTCTATTCAAAACTAGTAAATTAAGAAACCAAATTTTAACCCTTTAAGGACCCATTTAAAACATAAAGTCACTAATATTGGGAAAAAAAGGGAGGAAAATGATTTTTATTAGATTTATTTTCTACCATATCAGTGACATTATGTTTTGAATGGACCCTCAAAGGATTAAAAAAATGTTTTTAGATGAAACATTTACTAGTTTTGATCAAAGCAGAAGTTAGTTAAGAGATATATGAAAAAATTTGAAAAAAATATTAACCCAATATGTTTTTACAGCGGTCAAAGTTAGTGGCTGTTTTTAGCCCCTGAGCGTTAACAATGGATGAAAATTTGCCCTGCGCGTATTTTTGACCTGGTGAAAATTTTGAAGTCATATTCTCAAAGTGTCCATCAATATAAGCATCCGCACAAAAAATCATCCCATTTGCTGCAGTAAAAAAAAAGTTGCGTGGAAATTAGTGGCTAAATTTTGCCCCTAGTGGCTGATTTTAGCCACAGCGTTACACAAGCCTCAAACTCCACCGTTTCCATCCAGAACTACCTCATTTTTACCACCCTCTTCCATAAAGTGTCTACTTGGCTGTAATGCTCCTGAATTAAGTCTGCAAACTATATGCAATACATTTAGTGAAGCGTTCTGAGTTTAAGCACCTTTTTCTACCATGAAATGCAATTTTACTTTCAGATAAACCATGGAAACATCCAAAAACAAGCATAAGAATTAGTCTTTTGTTAGCAGTTTGGGTTAATATTGAGGTTTTAGCTGCATTTAATTCACAAAAAGCTCACACACACACACACACACCATGGAAACACAAAAGATATGAAGCAATGATGAACTTTATTTAGAGATAAATAGTTTTATTTGGGTGCCTGTCTCACATGATGACAATTTATACTGTCACAAACAAATCACAGTGCATCAGTGACTGGAAAAAGCAGCCGTGAAATAAACACATGCTATGAATGACAAATGTACCTGATGAGAGCAAGACTACAACTACAGCCAGATACCACCAAGATGACGTTAATGAGAGCTCCTCATGCACAGAGATGCTTCATGACGGACAAACAGTTTGAAATCACGTAAAAGCTAAAAAATCTGACCCGAGAATCACATGTAACTTTATTGACAGCACGTATAGTTTGAACCAGATATCTGACTAAAATAAAATAGTGTTTGTAAAGCTAATGTTTAGTAAGAGGCCATGTCAAACAGTCTGATTTGTGCTCAGTGGACACCGTATATGATGTTGGCTGTAACTCATATTCTGCAGAAATCATCAGAAAATAACGGCAGCGTGTTTAACTCTCAGCTTTTGCCACCAGAAGCAGAGATTGAACCACAAATGGTCGCCTTCCTCAGCTCAATTTTCATCGCCTGGCCCTCTGTGCGTGACTCTAACCTCGCCACCGTGGACACGCCCAGAACAGCCTTGCTGCTCGGTTTCATACCTTTTGACACAGGGATCCGTGTGGCTGCGCTCCGAGCTGACTGCATATCCGGACAGGGCTGGAAAACAGATGACAAAACAATGTTCAGAACCAAAGATGATCTGTTGTTACCTGATCTGATGTGACAGTACTTTTGATTTCACTGTTATTTTTAAGCAGGGGTTCAAAGATGAAAGCACGGTTGTGGTTAGCCCTGTATGACAGGTAAGGACATTTCAGTCACTGAGCTGCTCCTAAAATTTGTTACAGGATGGATACTAACTATTCAAAAAAACCTGATGATAGGCAACCTTTTAGCAACTAATCCAATCCCACAAAAAGATGCTAGGAGAGTGCAAAGTTACAAAACACAATGGCTTTGGCTTGCTCAGATTTTGGATCCAAGCAACTCCATGATTACGATAAACTCATGCGTCTTGTTTCCACTTGGGCATGTCAACTGGAAGTTCATTCATTCATATTAAGTCTTCATGATATCAGGTGTGCCTGCTAAAGCCTAAGGCACCATCTCAGTCTTTCCACATCTTAGGACACTTTATCAAGGGGGGCCAGTTATTCATTACACCCTGGACCAATATTGGTCACCTTTTCTGGATCCTTGCCATTATTAAGGTCTAATTAGCATCATAAGGTTCAAGGCTAAAGTTGGATTTGAGTGGAAACCTCTGACAAGATTGTTTTCTGTTAACTTTGATGACTCAGGCTACAAGAGGAAACCAGAAAGTTTCTGTCTCTCTTTTCCCCAGCTATATGCAATTAAAGCGACAACCAAACCAACACACATCAAACTCACACAACAGGTATTCTGTTCATATTTTAATTTCCTAGCCTTTAAGTTGCTAAATGATGGCCTACCATCCACTTTTTTTTGTGTAAGTGACTGAAATGTCCACTGAATACGGGCTAGACGTGTCTGATTTGTTGACTTTCAAGTCATCAAATCAGCGCTTAATGGATCCTATATAGAGGGCTGTCCTTACTGGGTATAAACTGACACCAGGCTGGTTATTTCATAAGAGTTTTAACAAGGTTTCTTATCTCTAAACTTATGATCTCTAGGTGCATAACTGAAACATCGAAATTGGTCACTTCTTGCCTGTGTTTGGTTAAAGGGAGTGAATCTGTCAGTCGGTAAATTCGTGTATACAAAAGACCCTAACAACGGTCTGTCTGGGATGCGGGATCGATTGCATGTCAGATCATTCCAGGGTTAGTTCATACCAGTGAGATCATCATTACAAAGTCACTGTGTTATACCTGGAGAGAGTGCTATCTAGGGAGCACACAGCACCTGATTTCATTTTGAAACATTTCAGAAGCAACTGCAACGTAAGAGATTGGACATCGTTCAGATATTTTTGCTTGTGGATGAAAGAATCTGTGCTAAAAAGCCAAAAAGATCAAACCAGATATAAAGAAGTGAAAAGCGCTTACCACTGACTGTGTTGGTCTGGAGGGCGCTGAGGTGCAGGGCGTGATTGTTATGCTGCTTGTCATTTTACTCGGAGTCGACATTTTGCTTGGGGTGGAGGTTTGGCGTGGGGACCTCAGCACCGTTCCTGTGGACATTTCCCTGCTGCTTTCTGCGCTCAGTCCGAGGGTCAACACTGGACTGCTGCTGCCCTCAGAGGACCTCTTATACTGGGAACCCAGATGGATGTGGATCTTGTTGTCCTCTGTGGTGATGATGTTGCTTTTACCGTTGTACTTCCTGTACGGCACTGGTCCTGGTTGCTTCTCTGGAGTCATTTTGATCACTGTGCGGCTTGCGGTGATGTTGTGAGGCTCGGGTGAGGCACAAGCTTCAGCCACAGGAGTTGTGCTGACTGTTATGATAGAAACCGGAGACTTTGGGCCTTCAGGGCTGAAGCCATTTGCCTTGTCTGGACTCTTGGCCCTGGAGATGGTAGTTATTGTGACTGGAGATTTGGCTCGGTTAAGCCCTCCTGTCATCTCGCAGGTTTTGCTCTTTGAGGTTACAGTAGTGGGTTTGGGGACGATCGTTATGCGAGGTTTCTGAAGACCAAGAGTCGGTATGATGGTAGTGCTGGAGAAGAAATCCTCAGCTCGAGGGCTGGTGATCTCCAAGGTGGCAGTGCTGTTTTCATGATCTGGGGTCACTCGAATGCGCAGGGGTTGACCTGGTTTTTGGGGCATGTTCATCTCTGGATGAGGTAGCAAAGATGCCCCATTCATCCTCTCAGGAGGGGTCTGGCTAGGTGTGCCTACCTCTTTCTTCCTCATCCAGGGTATCCAGGATTTCCCTGCCCCGAGTTCGGCTGATGCTGGAGGGTATCTTTCCAGAACTGTTGGCTTTTTAAGTTCCCGTTGTCTGAGGTTGCTCATCAAGTGGTTTTCCTCAAGCACTGATTTTTGGATAAAACCTGCTGCTGTCTCATCCTCTGCAAATTCACCGGCCATCACTTCTGTTTGCACTGCGGTGGAGGTCACCGGGACATTAACCATCCTGCTGCCGTTCATACTGGGCCTCATGGCACGACTGTAGCGCTTGGAGGCTTCCAGCTCCATTGTAAGATTGGCGACCTCCTGACTCATGCTTTTCTTTTTCTCTTCTTCCTCCATGAACCTCTGCTGAAGGATAGAATAATCCACTTGCAGCTGGGAGAGCTGATCCTCCTTGTTCATCAGTTCATGGATTTTCTCCTTCAGCGCCCGAACGTCCACCTGCAGCTCTCTGGTTTTGGTCTCCTCCATCTTGCAGCGGATCCTCAGCTCAGCCTCTGGACTCATGACCTCACCTTTCTCTATCGCTTTATTCCTGGCGATCTGACTTTTCATTTCTTCCAGCAGTTTTGAAAGGGTGTTTGCTTTGTCCTGCTCTGTTCTGAATTTCTTCTCAAGTAGATCGTACTCATCCTCTGTTTTCATCAAGTCTCCTTCAACCACCTCCAGGTGTTTCAGCCTGTTCTTCAGCCGTTCGATTTCCAGTGTGAGCTCTTTCACTTTGTTGTCTTCTTCTGCATTTCTGCTGTTGTCCTTATTGGCCCACTTTCTTTGCATTTCCTTGTCTGTCTCCTCAAGTCCGTCTATTCGTATTTTCATGCCACTAACCTTCGTATTCAGCTCCCTACACTTTTCCTCCTCACATGCAAGTTTAGTTTGCAGCTCATCTTTCTCCTTAGTTAGTGAACTCACTTTGACCTCCATTTCTGATTTGAATTTCAGCAGTTTTTTGCTTTCCTCGATCAGTTTCTCCGTGACCTCTGTGACCTTACCCTGCTCTGCTTTGAACATCTTACTCAAATCGTCACTTTTCTGCTCCTCTTGTTTGAGTCTCTCGGCCATGTTTTTCCTCTCATCGACTAGCATGACCGTGAAAGACTTCAGCTTCATCAGATCATCTTTGAGAATCATTTCTGACTTTTCAAACTTTGACTCTGAGCCCTCAAGTTCTTTTAGACGGGTTTTCACTGTCTCAAGCTCCCCGGCAAGGTCCTTCACAACACGTTTTTCCTTCTCCAGGTTTGTATGGAGCTGAGAGCACTCTGTTTTGCTCCGGTTGAAAGCCCCCTCCAGTTTTTCCAGTTCAACCATCCTCTTCTGCAGTTTTTCCACCTCCAGTCTCAGCTCCTTGCAGTGATTCTCCTCATCCTGCAGCTTTTTCTTCAGCTCCCTGCACTGAGTCTCTGTTTTGGTAATCTCCTCATCCTTGCCCTCCATCTCTAACACTCTCTTCCTCAGATTCTCAAGCTCAGTCATTAGAGATGAATTCCCGCACTCTCCTTTGCTGATCTTCTCCCTCAGCTCCTGCAGGTCTTCCTCTGATTTCTGCAGTGTCTTGTTGCTCTCCTCCAGTTCCTCAATCTTCTGTGCCAACCCGGCCAGTTTCAGCCTGAGCTGTCTGCTCTGGGACTCTTCTTCAGCTAGTTTGGCGGTCATCTCCTCGTGTTCTTGTGTGAATTTCGCTGCTTTTTGCTCGAGATCTGCCTCCAGTTTGAGGATCTTCTGGCTGTCCTCCTTACTGCTTTCTGTAACCGCTGACAAACGCTGCTCTTTTTCTTGAAGCTTCTGGTTGAGATCCTGGACCTTCTGGCTCTGTTGGTCAATTTGCTCTATGTGCAGCTGCCTCTCATCTACCAACATCAGGGCAAATGACTTGAGTTTAACCAACTCTGCTCTGACTTTCTCTAGTCTCCTGCTGTGGTCCTTGTCCTTACGAGCCTGGTAGGCCTTTTCCTGCTCCAGCAGCTTTTTGAGTCTGAAAAAACAGGCAGAGAATAAACATATGAGTGCTTGGGTATAAACATCAAACTTTCACCTGTCCTTCCATTCTTCCTAAGCACCGGCAGAATACTTAGATAGGGTGACCATACGTCCTCTTTTACCTGGACATGTCCTCTTTTTTGGGGGCTGTCGGGGCTTGTCCGGCTTTGTCCGGGGAAGTTTATGAAATCCTTCAAATATCCGTGGTTTTGTACAAGAGTTTTGATTTTGTGTTACGTGGACTTACTGAGTTAGAAGCACATAAAAGACGCTCAATCCCAATCGAAAAACTCTCAAAATTAACTTTGTGCGACTCCGTGACTCCACCCCCACGTAGTCATGCCCTCCTTTTGGGAAGTCAGAATATGGTCACTCTAATTTACATGCATGCCTGCAAAGATTATTAACCAGGTATATTCAAGTGCCAGGTTTTTTTAGGCATCCCTTTATATTTGGTGCAAATAATTTCTAAAAATATCCATCAACTGCTCGTCTTAAGGAAAAGTCAAAAGCATCAGCAGACAAAAAGAAAACAAAGTCTTTCGTTATCAGAGCTTACCCTGTCCTGTCTAGAGTGAAGTTGGTGAAAACGCTTACTGCCAACATTTTAATACCCAATGGTTTCAATTTATTTGGATACCACTTTTTTTAAGTATTTATTTAACCAGGAATGCCCATCGCCCACTGAGAAACAAAACCTCTTTATCAAGGAAGTCCTGAACGACAGATATTAGCATGAAAAGTTTCAGTCAGAGAACAAGACAAACAACAGACAATAAAAAAACAACCAGAGTCTTCAGCAAAAACTAAGTGCCAGATGAGGCTTTATCCTATAAGGATTAAAATCTTCCAAACTAATAAAGTGATCAAGTTTTGGGTGACTTTTATCTCAGACCAGGGTGAGGGCACAAAAACGTACAAGGACTTTAGCCAAAAACGGAGCAACTCTGAGGAATCCTCATACAGACTCATTTTTTAAAACAGAGATAAACGAAAAGAAAATTGGACTGCTACATAGTTATGAAACTGTGATGACCTCTTCCAACAGACAAAGAAATTCAAGCACCAATCTTAGCCGTGAACTAGTAAACAAACACCATGTTTGTGTAGCCAGACCTACATATAAATGCAAAAGGTTTACAAGAGCTTTTCAGGTTTCAAAGAGTGATGCCAGAGAATATCAAAACCAAGATACTCCAGATATGTTGGGCAAATTACAGAAACTAAACAGGGACTAAACTGTTGGCCAGTCTATTTTCCTTATAACAGAGCAAAGTCACTGTCATGTTGACCAAGATTTGATCTGAACTTTTAGTAAAAGTTCTCGGAAACCATAATGGTTCAAAGAATTTTCATAGCATTTTGTCACAACAAGAAGCTTTGTGAATATGGCCTCTGATCTAATGTGTGACAGCTCAAATCCTGACTAAGGACTCCGATCTCTCTTCATTTTTGTTTGTCCTGCATGTTCATCTCATGTTTCAGCTGAGCCTAACTTTGCATCATCCTAGGTGAGTTTGCAATAATTTGCAACCACAATCATTTTCATATCTTTAGAGACAACTGAGCCATCTTTGTTTTGTCTGATCTCAGCAGACAGGGCATGAATCAAAAGCAAATCCAGTTTTCTAGAGAATTTTCATAGAGGTTAGTTGTGTCTAAGCATTTGTAAAAGCATAAAATACCAAGATGAAGCAATAGTTAGAGCCTCTTTGGAGCTGCCAACAAAGTTCTGGGAACTTGTCTGAGTTAATGTCCTGTTTGTAGATGTTTAACTAATCTCTGCGGGAGTCTGTGTGCAGGAGAGAGTCTGCCTCAGTTTCCCTTTCAAACACTCACCTCAGACACTCAATCAGAGTCTCAGCCCTGCAGAACATGTGCTCAGCATGAGACAGAAAGACACGCAAATCCTCACATTTCATTCAAAGACTTTCACGACCTGCTTCTCCCTTTTTAAGAGCGTCTTTCAAAACTTTGCTGAACTTACCAACAAGTGGGGATGCAGGGCAGGTTGGTCCATATCTGAGTGTGTTTTGCAGCTGAGCAGGAGCCAAACTGCTGCCGCTGCTGAGACTCTCACGAGGTCAGAGAGGAGAGGAAGGAGGGGCTCAGACTCTGCGGGGAATTAGCCATCACATTCCTAACATGTCATCAGTGGACAATGAAAAAGGTGGATGTTGTGCTAAACAGTGCTGCCCCCGCTGGGCAATGATGTCATCCACCACTCCTTTTAAGGTCAAAGAGGCCCTGCCCTCGTGTGGACACTGAGGAGGAGGGGTTCAGACCAGGAGGGGGAGGATTTCTGCAAACTTTCCTCTCCTTTATGTTTGACTCACTCCTGAGGGAGGAGGGGAGGGGGGCACAACTTTACAGCAGGCATGACATAACACCTGGAGCCACATATCATCTAATACATCTTCATTTTGGTTCTTTTACTCACACTCTACCCTGACCTAATTGTCTCCTGTCCTTCTTGCAGCCAGCCATGTCGCTATGGAAACGAGGCAACAATGAAGGCGAGAGATTTTGTTTTCGAGAGGACAATACTGCTGTTGCATGGCCTTTCTTATTATAATCTGCTGGTATCGTGCAAAAGCAGAGGACATGGATATAAATTCTCCATAGTGGCTGGATTGTATGTGTGTGAGATCATGGCTTTACACAGCAGAGGAGGTTTGTGGTTTGCATTGCAGAGGCTCCTAAATGAGCCAAATATGAGCAGTGCAAAGAGCTTACAGATGCAGGTCTGAGTCACTGCTCTTCATTCTGCAAATGCATGTTATACATAAATATCAACAGGATTCAAGAGCCCTTTAACATTCATCTCCATGCTTTGTGGCTTGGATACTTGCACATTTGTGTTCTGGCTGTGATTTGAGAAATACAGACAGAAAGTGTTTCTTCTGTTGCACGTATTTGAACCGTATTTGGATCAAAGCTTCTAAATATCTTCTCTTAATCTCCAAAAACAAGCTGTGGTTCTGTACAATCAAAAATAAACCATCTTGAGCTTCCTCCTCATCAGACTCTTTGACTGCCAGCCAACAAAACAGGATAAAATTAGGAACAAACAGCCACATGTTTAGACAAACCACCATTATGGCCCAGACTAGAGTGTCCCAACAACTCTTGGACAGATTTCCAAGAAACTCGACTTTGAATGTACCTCAAGGTTTTATCCAGTTCTCTCATCAAATTTGTCTCCACTTTGAGTCATATTTAAATACCCATAAATACCATAAAGTGTTCCAATTATGGAGATGTTTGCATGCCAGATCCCAAAGATGAGACTATAAACACTGCAGGTGTGTTAGCATGCTCACATTTGCATTTGGTCTTCACTCCACAGTGTCCCTCTATACACACTAGCCTGATGACTATGACTATGCTAAATAGTCAGAACATACAACAGAGCCAGAACCACCAGATACATGTCTTCACAGCTGAGTCATTTTCTTATAATCTTGGAATTTTAATTTCATAATGATTGACTTATCACTGGAAAGTAATACATTTTTATCAGCGTGTGAAAACTAAAAAGGTTGTAGAGAAAAGTGCTCTGTTTTGGACTTGAACCAGTAAGGCTTCAATCATATATCTCCAATGAAGGTTATGAACTACAGGGATCTGGTCTGAGCATTGAAACTCCAAACATGAGTCCCACTCCGGCCCTGGAGCAGGTTTTGCACAGGTTAAGTGTTCAGCATCACCACACAAACATATATCCATTATAAACCCACCTCTTATCCCTCCTCACCCCCAGGGATCAAAAACACACCATAAACCAAGAGCCAAAAGCCTCATGGTGCTAATAAGATAAACAAACAAAGAGGAAGAAAATGGAAGAAACAATTTATTTCAAAAATGAGGAAAGATTCTGGAGAACTGTAGCTGAAAACCTCTGCTCTTTTTTTGCGCTCATTTCTGACTTTTCTGGTGCAGTTTTGTGGGTGTACATGCAACCTGTTATGAAAACAGAACCGGTAATCGTCTAGAAGCATCTGTTCTGGGAATGACATCAGCCTGGGTGCATTCATTCATGATATCACCTGCAGTGAATCTGCACGCTGACTGCAGCAGACAGGAATGTGTTATCAGACTGAGCAGAGAGCAGGGCTGGACCACACTGAAGACAGGATGAGCTGACTTATATATCTGATTTATAACTACGCACTGAAAACTGACAAGAAAGAAAAGCTCAAACTGACCTGCAGACAATTAAATCAGAGGTACCCAAACTCTCTATAGTCAGTAAAGTTTGCAGAATATCACTCAGGTGAAGATTTGAAGGACTATGAGTGTTTCCTAACTTTTTTAGCAGGTAGTTAAAAGTTTGTTGAGCAGAAAGAACAGATGTGAGATAAAACATCTGTCTGATGTGGCTGATAGATGATTACAGCATCAGAATGTAAGAGTAGGTTTGAGTAAAAAAGAGGCATTAAAAAAGTTTCCCTTTGTTTTTTCATACTGGGTAAGCCTCCTTTTCCTGTGCATTTGTAAGATCTTGAATAATAAAGCCAAAAAATCTACACAAACAGCAAAATGCAAGCAGTTCAAGAACAGACAAGTATAAAAAGGCGATCGCAGATACATAAAAAATGAGGACAGATAAGTGTCATTAAATGAAGAATCAGCAAACAAGACAGGCCTGCAAAAGATGTCTGCACAGAGGTAAAGTAAAAAAAGTAAGAAACTTAAACAAACCCAACGAGTCAAAGTTCCTTTAAAAACACTGATACTAATGATGAGACTCATTAGTAGTCTAATATATAACACTGACTCCTGCAGCTGAGAACCAGAGGGGTTAAACTCAGCCAGGATAAACTCTGTGATGCTCGTGTTGTATATCTTAAGACTTGATAAGGCACGATTCATCACTCTTCCTATCAGAGCAGTCATCTGAAACCTGCAGCTCTGGGTCTTATCTGATAACTCCTGCAAAATGCTTCTAGAAAACAGCCTCTTTGAAGGGGGTTCAGAACTGGATATGTTGAGTGGTTTTAAAGAGTTTTTTGGGGCTTAGTATTGAGGATTGGAAAGAACTGCAAAACTAATTTACAAGTTGCGTTCTGTATTTGCTCTAACTGATAAGAGTACCAGGCCTTTATATGAAGCGGACTTGTGTTAGAGGCAGGCCTGTAGATCAAATTCTCTATCTAAGAAGTACAACTGTCACACCATTGTATAAATTTATGATGGTTTATATTTCAGCACACAGAGAGGGGCTGATTTACCAAAGGATTGCATTCGTTTTGTGCCCTTTAAACTTGTGCAGATGAGCTAGAAAGTCATTTTCTAATACACAAAGCAAACACAAAGAGTTAAGTGCTCCACAACTGCACTGCAGAGCAAATACTGTCTATGTGCACCAGTGTTTGCATATATTCAAATGATCCATTATGCATACATTTGTGCAAATGAACCTCACTGCAGAAAACTCCTCTGTATCTCTACATAGAGAGCTTTGTTATTGCTTTAACAATACTATTTGTATGGTAATGAGTTACATCAGACTGAGGCTGTCTGTGGCTCGACGCCCCCACATACAGGCTGTGCTGCTACTCATGAAAGAGTAAGGAATTATTTATTGATTTATCGAGCTGCTTTTCTGCAAACTCTCTTCAGGAAGTAAACTGGTTATAAATATATCACACCTGTTGACTCCACAATAAAATGGTAAGGATTGTCCCTTTCCATCCAGCTTATCTGTATGTGGACTGTGTTTATCTCTGTCAGGATTAGAGTGCGCAGAGCAGCTCTGAGCAGCAGAGAATCGAGATGCAGACAGTCATATTAAAATGAAAAACTGGAACAAACTGCACTTAGATGATCTGTGAGCTTTAAATATAGTTATTACAAACCTGATGTTGTTCTAACTATTGAGTATTGCTGCGTTCCAGTTACCTCGGAAGTCAGATGTCAGAGCTGGGAATGACGCCACACCTGAGTTGATGGCTATCCAGTTAACAAGTCGGAAAATCAAGATGGATGCCTACTGTTAGCCCAGGGGTCGGCAACCCGCGGCTCTGGAGCCGCATGCGGCTCTTTCTTCCCTAAGCTGCGGCTCCCAATGGATTTGGAAAATAAATAATAAATACTTAATTGCATTTTATTTTATTTTATTTTATTATTTTTTTTTGTAATTCTAAATTCAAAGATTATAATGCTCTTGTAACATTAAATAAACTATTAAGGCTGCAACAACGAATCGATTAAGTAGATTCGTCGTGACGAAAAAATCCGTTGCCAACAAATTCTGTAATCGATTCGTCGGGTCTTTATATATGTCCATGGACACCGGCGTGTAAACATCAGCAGAATGCACAGAAAAGAAACAGCCATGGCCGGGGCAGCGGCTGAGAGAAACATGGACACAACCCAACCCAAATCCCGACCTAAAACATCAGTGGTGTGGGAAAACTTCACCAAGACTGAAAAGGAAGGCGTTCAGTGCAACATTTGCAAAGACCGTTTTGCATGGCTCGGGAGTACATCGATGATGCGTGAGCACAGGGCTCTCAAGTCTCACGCATTCAGCGTATGACACACGCATTCCCACTCGTTCACACGCTCACACACCACACATTGTATTTCTCACGCATTTAAATGAACACGGTGATGTCCACCAAGTTGCACTTCTTCAACTTTGGAACTGGGGGAAATCAACTGAGTTCCTCCGAGAGTTCAGAAGCTGCGTGCCACGCACAAGCCAATCAAATAAAGTATATCTACTGAACAGCCAATCAAAAAGCAGCATTGCTGTATCCGGGTAGATTTTGATATCTTGCAGTTTAACTACAGAAGAAGACAGACACTCGCCGAAATAGTTCATTTATTTCATAAATGCAACTCGCTACAGTTTTTTATATACTTTGTATAAAGGTAAAAAAAAAAAGATATATGCAATGTTATCTTCATTTTAGATGTCAAAGAGGTTTTGTGGCTCCCTGTGTTTTCTTTTCTGTGGGAAACTGGTCCAAGTGGCTCTTTGAGTGTTTAAGGTTGCCGACCCCTGTGTTAGCCATTGTTAGCTGTTGTTAGCCATTGTTAGCCGTTGTCAGCCTTTGTTAGTTGTTGTTAGCTTTACCAGTTGTAAACAGTGCAAAACACTGTATTTTACTTTTACAAACACCATAGCACCGTGTTCATAGTTAGACGTTGGGGAGTACAACATTTACCACTTATTTAATTTAATAATTTGATGCACTGTGCTGCTATCTTGGATAATGACGTCGTCAAGTCGGGATAAGTGAAGATCATCCGACTTTCCATGTTAGAAATCCAACTTCAGGGGTGCATTCCAGATGAATTTCCGGTATTCCGACTTCCGAGTACAACTGGAATGCAGCGTATGTGTTGCTGATATTTGACGAAACTTTACAATTAGGATTATCATTATTCACGGTTAGTTCAGCATTTAAACGATTTTTTTTTTTATTAAAAGTACAGCAAAGAATAATTTCAGCCTTGTTTTCAACATTTTAAAAAATTGGCTCCTTTTTCTCTTTTTTCTTTGTCTGCAGAAATAAATCATTTTCTTCATCAGGAGGTCGCAAAATGAATATTCATTCAATCAAACTAAGTTTAATGTAAATACAACACAAAAGACTACCAACCAGAAACTCTCAAATATTATGCACAAGTATGCACAAAAACAAAACATGATAGAAATTTAGAGTATCAAAGACTCAAGGGCGACAGTGACAGGAACAAAATAAGTGTGCTACCATTAAAAGGTTCAGACAGTATAAGACAAAGTTAAACCTGACTATAATAGAGTAAAACTCTGGTGTAAACAGACCATATAAACACTCAGTGGGCCCTCACCTCTCTCTCTCCTGCTCCAGCAGGTCAGTGAAGTCGTCGCTCTTGTTCATGAAGTCGGTGTGTTTGCGTTTCTCGTTGTCCAGCTCCATGACGGTGCGTCTGTGACATTTCTCGGCCAGCAGCAGCTGCTCCAACATCCTTCTGTACGTCTCCCTCTGTTTGTCCTCCAGACGGTCCAACTGACGGCAAAGACATCAACACTCATTATTAACAAAAACCCTGAGCCTGCACGTCGACACACAACATCTGCCGGCACAGTATCCCAACATTAGCTACGGCTGTGCTCATATTGTGTCTGTGAGGCAACAATGAGTTAAGAGACTCTTTTCACTCAGTATGAGGAGCTTTATTCACATTTTCACACTTTCTGCACCCTGCAGACTCCTCTGAGCATGAAAAATTTTGTTTTACTCACACAAAGGGGGACAATTCTCGGCCTTGAAATCACTTTTCTCCTGCTGGTGTAAATGCACCAAAACCATAACCCACAAATCCCAAATAAAAGTTCATACAGAGTTTGCAGTTTATCTACTGAATGCTCTATCCTCTTAACTTTAAGGGCCCGTGTCCACTAACAGCATTCTTTTCAATGGAAATGCCTATTTTCTGCACAAAATCAATGTTCCCAGAGAGTTAAAATATATTTGGCATCAGCTGTTTTCAGTTGCTCGGCTCTAAATTTTACTTTTGAAGCACCCCTGCACACACTGATGTCACATCTCCATTAGGATCATCAAAATCAAGAAGGGGCGGGGTTTCTGTGTAACGCATACAGAGCATTTTAAAACAGACTCAAGGGTTTCTTATCAAAGAGAGTAGAAGTGACATGGAAAAACTTTTGTACCCTCTCAACAATAAGTGCTGTGAAACAAACGAGGCAGCTGCAAAAGTGCTCTTAGTGGAGACAGGCCCTTAAAGTTCAACATTATAATGAGGATTCAGACAAATGTTGAATTAAGGTATCTATTTCTGTCTGTTCTTCATTTAAATGACCTTTAAATGATGGTGAAATGTTTTTGAAACCTCTGGGTACTAACTGAGACTTTTTTTTTGCACAAAAGATACTTTTTCCTTCAAAAGTTCATGATTTGTCTTTATGGTAAACAATTCAAAACAATTCATTGTTATGATGTACGACAAAGGTTCAAATGAATACTACTTTTTAAGAGATTAATGCATCTGAAAGAGGAAAACATATTACAGTATATGCTTATATTTAACTCTATTCATACGTGAGTAAAACACATGAGTACTGTAATTCCTCCCTCACCTCGGCCATGGGTCTCTCATAGACGTCCTCAGTGCTGTTGTTGCTTCGTGTGAGCAGAGCATCTCTCTGCAGAGCCTGCAGAGGTTTGGTCGGGACAGCTGAGCCGTAATGAGCCTCGAAGATCTCCGGTCTGGTTTTGTCTGTTTTCATCAGACCGATAATGTCCTCTCTGGCCTGAAGATATGAAACAAAATCTTTAATGACTGCATGCAGCATTGCTCTGCTTTATTTCAACAGGAAATTCTGTCTGAGAATGAGTCTATTAAAACCACATGGACATTCAAATCTATAATATTGTCAGTAACTAAATCTATTATCTTCATTTATTTGTGACAAGAAATCAGTTTCACAGTTTCAAACAGAATCCGGGTTTATGATGGTATTTGTCTAGTCATGTCCTGCAAAACCACTTTAAAGTAGATCATTTTACTTTAACACTATCTTGTTTCTTCTTATGTCCTTTTACGACTTTTAATATTGTACTTTAGCAAGCGTAATGCATACCAAAAAACCAGGCCTTGATGAAACAAATTAAAACTTACTGCAGAGACAAAGTAAGTTTTAAAATGACCATCAGAAATCCACTGCAGATAGAGGAAAACTGAGAGAAACTCCTTTAACATGAACAGATTTTGTTTCAGTGTGAACTGAACACAAAAATTACAAAGTGTTCTTCTAAACCTAACATTAAAACAACAAAATCTTTAAAATCTCCATAAAAGCAGAAAGCAGTTTGGCCTGACTGAGTAAGAGGTGAAGAGACTCAACTGTGTCAAATGAAACCATCTGCTTGAGTCAGTTTTTCTTCATGAATACTCTCACGCACTTATTTGCTCTAATATCATCTGAATGTGATGCTGCACCCATAACATGACCTCATCCTCTCCTCTCTCACTGATATCACATGACCTAATGAGTCCGATACACACACACACACACACACACACACACACACACACACACACACACACACACACACACACACACACAGGAGTCAAGCTGGGTCCTACCAGCAGGGGGAGACATTTCCCTCTTACTACTCTGAACTGTTTTATTGCTGGAGACGATGAGACAAACTCTTGCACTCTTTAACCATTATATTTGTGGTGGACATTTGCATGTGTTTTTGACGTTGTGTCGTTTCTTCATTGTCAGTATGTTTCTGCTGATGAAGATTGTTCTGGCAGAAGAATCTTTGTGTCGGCAGATTGTGTGTCCTTGTTAGCCAAGAGAAAAGATGAGATGGCCTAATCAGCTTATCTGATCTGGTTTTTGGTCCAATTTGATCAAATATACTTTACTCCCTCTCTCAGCTCCAGGACATATCTGATAAACTGTCTGGTTTTATCTTTTAAAAAAAAAAAAAACAGTCTAAGATGGTTTAAAACAGAAATATCTGGCTTCATTTCTAAAACCACTCTTTTATTTTTCATGTCTGCTGTATTTTCATCCCAATATTTCTGGTCTCTTTCTTTTAAACGCTCACCTCTTTTCTGTCTCGTCTTGCTGTTAAAAATGTCACAGTCTGTATTAACTTTAAACCCACTTTTTCAGTCTTAAACATTAGGAGGATGACAGTGAAACAGTCCCTTAGCTGTGTTTGTGGATGTATGTGAGGCAAAAGCAGCTCTCCTTCTCGAGTGAAATGTCCCTCTCCGTTTGGTGTCTTTCCATCTCAAATGGAAAATATTTAACACACCCAAACAGATGGAAACTGAGGGTGAGGCTGTAGCATCCTGCCTCTCTAGAGACCAGTTAGTGATTGTGTCTGCTTCAGAAAAAAAATGTGTTATACTGGAACACAGCAGCATCCATGGGTGGGCTGTTTCCATACAGATACAAACAGTTTTTAATACCTGACCCATCACACTGAGAGAGATCTGGACGTGAACCCTCAGTTATGATAAACTCTGATCATGGATTATTTCAAAGCTGCTGATGTCTGTGAAAAATAAAAACAACGGCCAAAATAATTCACCTTTCATTTATCACACATCAGCATCGAACCCTATTAGCATGAGTCAGTTTGATTTGGGCTGATCTTAGCTTTGAAAATTCTGGATTTAAATGACCCCCACTCTACAAACATTCATGTTACTAAGGTGACTCAACTAACGCGTTATTATAATGACTTAAACAGATACTGTGACAAAACTAAACATAACTAAACTGATATTAATCTCCTGACCTAAATGGCATTACTTAAATGAACTCACAATACTGCCTGATTATGATCTTAAACTTAACTGAGTTTTATCAAGTTCATGTGTGTTTCTGATCAGTTTATCCTTCTTATTCTTGAACCGTTAAATTGGTCATATTCAAAGTCTTAACCTTCCTCCTGTGTTAGCTTGTACTTCGCACCCACCATGTTAAGGGTCGGTTTTGACCCGTGTCTTAAATCAGCTGTAAATTACACTAAAAACAATTCTCTATCATCCAGTTTGGTTCTCATCTCTAGGTTACTTTGTTAGGCTTCATTACACATGAAAATATTGCTTATAATAGTTTTGTTGTGGGCCTCTGGGCCTTTCTTTGTCTGTATGACCCTCCCACAGACATCTATACTAAATTGATCTCACATGTCTGGACATGCCTGACATTGTTTTTTGTGCAGGGAAAAAGATGGCAAAATGAGAATTTCCAAAAGGGTAATAAGAGAGTGGATGTTAGTCATCAGAGGTTAATAAAATTATTATGTTCTTGTACCTGAACTTCTCCCTCCATGATCCCCAGCAGGTGCAGCAGATCTTTCTTGGACAGGTCCAGAGATGCAGTCTTTCTGCTCTCAGCAGTTTTCTTCAGTTTCCTGGTGGATCCAGACGCCGGCGTCTTCCCATCCTTCTCCTCCTGCTGGGTCTTCATCTTCCTCTTTGACAGCTCTGGTGTGTTTTCATCTTCCTCTTTTATGAAACTTTTAGTGGGCTCGATGTGTCCATCCTCTGGACTCTCCATGGTGCAGTTCCTGGAGCGCATTTTTTACCTGTGAGTGAAGACAGAGCAGATATAAATGTAAGGGGAAATGATTCTCAAAACAGAGGTCAGTGCTTTAAGACAGATATTTCAGATTTCAAATAATTTTTAAGCAGGACATGGTCAAAATCTTAACATTTAACTCCTGTGCCAGATTTCCAGATACATAGTCCAGATCCACGAAAGCTTTTGGCAGATAAATGTCAGGTTCTTGGAAGAGTGGATTATGTGAATAGTGTTAAAGTTAAGTAAGCATTGATTTAATCTCCCTCTTATTATTCCAAACAGTTATCCATGACATACAAGTGAAATCTATAACTATAAAACCACGAAGGCTCTTACTATACATCATTTTAACCAAACAGTGCCTCCAAAAACAAAAACACAACGCTGTCTGATCGTCGTTTCTTCTTTGCTCTTCACCCATCATAGATGCCTTTGAGCTCAAATAATCCACCCATGATGATTGGAAGCTGATTCAGGTTTAGGAGGTCCTGGATGGGGGGTCCTCCTGACAAAGTTATCGGAAATGAGATCTGAACTAGGCCAAAGTTCCTCGAGACCGCGGGTCCGGATGAAAGCAGACCGTGACTCAGCCAGAGAGAATCCTGGCAGGGAAGCGGTAGCAACCACGTTACCTCGGCTTGTTATTAATAGTTGTTACAGGAAAGATGCCAAAATCTCCCATGTGCCAAAACCACGGGGCTGTCCTTCACTCTGACGGTCAGCCAGGTGAGCTGGAAGGGCTACAGGTGGAGGGGGTGAGCCAAATCTAACGCCAAGACAAGCCTGAAGGAGAGTTTGGAGAAACTTTTGAAGGGTATCTGGAGTCAGTCAAGTTTTTCATGTGCAGAAGGCTGCCAAAACATTTACCTCTCCTGTTCTAGAGCAAAACCAGTGGATAGACTCAAATAATAAACTTTAGTTGATAGATGTATTATTATTTGAAATAACAGCGTTTTCATTTTAGCATATGAATCTTGCAGTGAGCAGTTATTTCCCTCTGAGATCACACCCAAAGGAGGTTTAAGAACTATCAGTGATGCATTGTTTTGTTCAATGATGCAAAACTAGGGTTTCTTAACTGCTGATAGTGGGTTAGACACAGCTTAGAGGTGTTACTTTTTACGCAGCTTTGGAGTTATGCCATAACCTGAAGGTGAGGTGTATCCCCTTTACCTCAGAGGTCAGATTTAGACCTGGGAATCACACTCCAGTGTCAAGTAACAAAATCCGCTCCCACAAGCTCATATGGTGAGGTAATGACAACACATTATGTGGTACTTCGCACCTCCAAGCACCATGACAACAAGTTTACATATGGAATAGAGGTGGGATAAAAAAAATCAATTCACATAAGGATCGCGATTTTTTGTTTTTCAATTTTGTGTTCAAAAATCTTTTTTTTTTTTTCAAATTTCAGAATAAATCTTAAAAACTGACTTAAATGTGATGTGTATTTTTTAAAGAAACATGGTTCCTGCACTAGTCAATAGACAATCAAAATCATGCAACTGTTTTACTGGTGTTGAAATGCAGACTAAAATTCAATAAAATCGCCAATATCGTAGAATCGAAATTTAAATCGAATTGGCATCCAAAAAATCATAGAAGAATTGAATCGGGAGAAAAGCATATCGTCCCAGCCCTAATATAGAACCTGCACAATACTGCGTGACTAAAGACTAAGTAGCATATCAACACTAATTAAAGTCCAGCTTATATATTAGTGTTGGATCAAGGAGCAACCACTGGAGATTTTCAGCTCAGATACCTGCTAACTTAAGAAAGTGTTATGTGACGTATCAGGCTGGCATCTCTGACTTCAAGTTGTATGACATTATTGGAACTTTGCAGAGGTGAAGCGCTGACGTCTGTCTTCGTCAAATTGTATGAATTCAAGTACAGATCAGCATTATAGGTCTCTCTTTGAAAAGTCCTTAAAAGGATCTACATCCTGTCACTGAGAAGTGAGTAAACACTGAGCGTTCGGTCTGTAAACAGGGACGTTTTGTTTACAGGCTGTGTTGGAGTTTTCTTCTGGTTGCTAAATGTCCCAACAGTGTGTCTCAATTGAAGTGGGTCTCCACATGCCATCACGGTGTCATATCAAGTCTCAGATGAGCAAACTGATCCATGTAAACAGTTTACCTTCACCAGAGAAGAGCTCTGAATCACACAGTCATCTCACAGGAACCTTACAGTGTGATGAAGAGCTAACGACAGACTCCGCTCTGAGGGTTTCACCGTCACCAAAACAGTCGACCCTGCATCCACAAACAACCTCAGAGCTGCACAGTTTCTTGGAAATGGGACTACTTTAGGAAGAAAAAAGGTTTATGTGCAGAACTTTTTCTTTGAGACCAAAAGCACAGCGGTGACCTTGAGCTTAATAATAGGAGCGAATCCATGCAGCAGGTTAATGTAAAACCAGAAAAGCAGAGGCTGTAATAACAGCCGGGCCTCGGTTTTGAGATAAGATGCCAATTTGGAGTACTGTGCACTTGTTTCCACATAATTTTGGCCGTGTTCATGACCGGTGCATGATTAAAATGTAGTTCAAACTTTGAATAAGAGCTCTGTTAATCTGTAAGTGGGTTTACAGAGTCTCTAAGTATTTTGTGGCTTTGAAAGATTTGTTTACGTTGTGTTTCTGGAAACCACAGCAGAGAGAGATGCTTTAAAGAAACGCGGGTTTCATGCACACGTCCTATGGACTGAAAATAAACCAAGTAAATAAATTGAAGATTGTATGTTTGGTCTACCCTGGGGAGAGATATTTATGGCTACGCAATGAGGCTCTCTGATTTACGCCTCGGCCTGGATTAAACCCCAGACAGCTGTGGCCCGTGGTCGACACACGAGACCTACAGTGGATAAGTGGTCGAGCTGGTATGTTGGCAGAGGGGTGTTTTGGTGGCCAGAGAGCTCATCCAGTTATAAGAAGGTCACAGGTTTGACCCCAGAATCAACAAATGTCTCCAAAAATGCCCACGTGTCACAGTGAGATGAAGTTTGAAATGCAGCGAATGTCTGAAGTGAAGGTGACTCTTGAATTTCACACTGAAGTTAAACTTGTATCACGGGGAATCTGTCTTACACAACACTTCGACATGCTGCAAATTTAAAGCATGAAACAAAACCATGTGACTTTTCAATATTCAGTTCAAAATGGTAAAAGAGAACAAGAATAACCAAGGACAAAGAATGGGCCAGAGGTCTTCAAGTTTGATTTCAATGATTCAGATGTTAAAATGTTTTTCTTATTTATGGTTTTGGTTCTAAAAAGAAAATGAAGCTTGTTTTGTTCTTTTGTTGCTCCAGAATTAAGATGCTCTTGTTGCAAAATCACAACCCAGATATGGGCTTACCTCACTTTCTGAAATCTGAATATGATGTTGACATGCAGAAACACAAAAAACACTATGTGGCCACACTTGGTGAAAGTGTTGGTCTGAAGTTGTTGGTCAATATGGAAGGCAATATGGAGGCTGTATTTTTGTAATAGGAGTAATCTGAGACATAACGTCCATATTACTGTATAGTAAATCTATGTAAAACTAGGGTGTAGGCTCAGTAACTTCACAATAATGACATTTTAACATGGGACCTTATGACAATTCCTTGTCTTTTGGGGCCAGTCTCCAGTGGACACTTGAGGTACTGCACTTTTCTGCATTTGTAGGCAGCAGTTTCATTAACTCCCACTTCAGATGATTTGTAATGAAGTGTCCTTATCAGTTTTACTGCAAGTGAATGTTAATGTTTCATAATTAGCCTCTAGATGACTTGTATCCTGAAACAGTAAATGAAGACGATAAACATGACATTGTAATTTAATCGGCGTGTTGACACTCTGAGCATGGAGGGCAGGCTGTAGCATTCTTATGCAGCAATGTTGTAGCCTGCCTGAGTTTCCATTCAGCTCATTAGCTATAGACATTTTTGAAAACAGAAGATGTGAACTGTGATGTTAATATATCAGCATGTCTCAGAGGAGCTAACCTGTTTAATTTTAAAGAAATCATCAGATACAGAGATAATGGAGCAGCAACGTTTCAGGGTTTGCCTGTCCTTCGCCCTTTTTCATGAGTTGGAGTGGGCCCAGCATGTGCAGCTGTTTGTTTGGTGAAATCTTTAAGGGGTATTTTTAGGGTCTCCTCACTTGTGTCCAGAGTCCAACAAGGGGAAACTCCAAGGCTATCACTTTATGAGCCATCAGCAATCCCACGGATGCCTGAACCTCGACTTTACTTCACAGCTGCAGCTCTCACACTCCACCACAACAACACCTGATGTAAACAAACAACCGCTGCTAGCTTATAACGCTACAACAACAGATGCTAACTAAAAGGAGCTCACGAGCGGTAAATCCAGAGCAACAACTCAAACACTCAGTGGGTCAGGTTTCGCTGTGTTTGTTTCAGGTGGTGTTGTAATGATATCTGAGGGTAAATTTAGAGCATGTTAGCATCTCTGGCCTCCGTGCTCAGTAATTGTTCAGCATCTTTGACAGAGCTGCACTCTGTCACAAGCTCTCATCTCATTATCTCATTATTAAAAACCGAGATGACATCTGTCTTAAACAGATATCAGTCATCGCTTTAAAAGAGTGTGATAACACAGCCTGTCATATGTTCCTGAGTGTTAGGTACTGTCCTAACCAATGGCAGCCATATTGAAAACCTTTATATTTATCATGTTGTTTGTCTATTATTTTAGAAGAGATTTCTATGAGGGTAACAATCACTGTTAAATTAGGCACGTAGCCCTTTATTGCCTTTTGTATCATACTTGATACATACTTTTATGATACTTAAATCAAATCAATATGATCAACAAATTACAAAAAAAAACACCTTAATACAGTCTGATAAATGATTAAAATTTCCTCTCATGGTTCATCAAATTCCAAAAACATCTACTGTATCAAACAAGATAAATAAATATATTTGTTAAATTTTGAGGAGATTTTTTTGGTTTACAGTAGTAAGTGAAATAAACATTTCGGCTAAAAAAAATTAGAATTTTCTGGCCATAATTTGTGGTTTAAGGCACTAAAGGGTTATTCTTTCAGTTTTGGCTTGATTACCCTCTATAAGAAGATTTTAGTGGCTATCAATATTTTTTTTTATTTTAGGCACAAATCCAGTGTTTACTGTCAGGTAGAAACAGAAATGGAGTTTGAGTGGAAACCGTATTATTATTATTTTTTTTTTTTTAAGGAAATATAAAAAGTTCATTTGCCCATTAAAACAGTCATAGCTTCATTTTTAGGTCTTAGGGCCTGTGTCTACTCACAGCATTTTGTGGAGGCAATGGCCACAAATTAGCATTCAACTTTAACTAACAAATAAAAATGTTCCAATATGTTCACTTTCATTCATTTAGGTTCCTGCAGCACCTGCACTCACAGCTTTGCCCACAGTGAGAAAAAAAAAACCCTGTTAGTGGACACAGGCCCTGTGGATAACTCAGCTGCTTTTTAATAATATATCAGTGGCAAACAATGAAGATGCCCAAACAGCTGGATTTCCTTTACAACAAAACTAAAGAAAATAATTAAACCTTCAATGGTGACTTTGAAATCGTAGCTTTGGTCATTAATAAAACTGTTTACACAAGGACAAAGGTTGTTCATGTATTTAAACAGAAATAAAATAACCATTTCTGCATTTTTTATGGGGATACATTAAATTATAGAAAACCTGGTAAAGTTAGAAAAGCAAAGGAAGTTTTGCATGCCCTGTTGGAGTTTTCTTCATTTAGTTGTTCATTTGAATCACTCTAGGCTTAGATAATATAGTATCTTATGTAAACCTTAAATGCAACTGTGTAGAGATTTCTTCTTCATCTTCAGGCAATGGCAGCTGTCCACATCCACCATCTCAACTTTGCATATATTTAAACTTTGTGCTTTTCTTGTGCAATGTGATTTAGACATGTAGATCGAAAAATGACTATATAAGGGAACGATCAGCTTCACGCAGAGGTTTACAGAGGTCTGGCCTCTCATCGTAATTCACCATAAGGGGGAAAGTAATGCAGTCAGTCCTCTGTGCTGCAGGAGGGCTTCAAAGTCCTGAGAGGCAGGAAGTCTACAGCCGAGCCAAAACAAATACACTTCTGTCATGAATATACTGTTTAATATTTCAGTCAACTTTGGATCACAAGTTTTAAGAGCCGACTAAGAGCTAAAGTATTGATTCAATCATAGATCTCATTATTCCCAGAGCGCCTCTGGCTTTACGCTTCACTGGTGCAGTGACCTTTATTTCTTCTTAGATAGCAGACCTGCAGGAGCATCAGACTCACTGAACTTCCAAAATTATGACTGATGAAAATATATCATTGTCATCCGCACAAAACTATTTGCCTCATCTGACCCACATAAAGATGCAGAGATATGAATCCTTACAACCTGAGAATGTATTTAAAATTAAAACCATTTCAGCTGCAGATTCTCCACAGTTTAATGATTTGTTTGCATGGCAGGTAGCAGTGCATATTCGAATATCTCAGTTTTGAAAGCTCAAGGTGCCCATCCAAGGACATCCGTCACAATACAGTCAAGTGGCTTCACAAAGCCTGCATGTAAACATCAGAGATGCAGAGCAGGACAAAGTTCTGCGCACAGCGAAAGAAGACGATTATTGCACAAATAATTTCCTCTATATTGCCTCCTCTAAAGTCATGACATCCGGTGACTAAAAACTCATAATACAACTATTTAAAATGATCATTCCAACTGTCTATGAATTTGTTCTGACTCCCTGTCATGTTGGTGACATTTCCTCTTTTATCAAGTTGAATCAAACTTTCCTTCTTAGGGTCCAAACACAGGGGTTTGACTGAAGGCAGATTATTTTTTATTCATGGTCGTCAAACAAAAAGAGTGAGTCTCCAGCCATGTGTGAAGTACATAATGAGAAAATATGATCAAAAACAACACTAAAACAGCTAAAGTCTCAGTCACGACCTAGATCCAGTGACCCCCATGGCTCAACTCCACACAGAGTGTTTACAACCCCATGAAAGACCGGGTCTACATCAACCCTAACAACTCTCCTACCACAGAGGCTGGTCACAACCCCTGTAATCCAGGTCAATCGTATCAACCCCACTGACTGATCTATAGCAGGGAGTGTTAACAACCCCAGAAAAAAACACTTGGGCTCTGGTAAAACGAGAATCCTAATGACCTTACAACAGGAGATGGTCCAACTCCAGGAGAAACTGGGTCAACAGACCTGGTAATCCCAATGAGTTTCTTGCAACAAAGGTCAGAAACAGCTCCAGTAAATTGGGTCAATAGCAGTAATACTATCATCTTCAATGACTTAACTGGAAACATCAACCCAAATGGTTCTCCAGCTACAGAGAACTTAACCAGAAGCTCATATAAAGACAACTCTGACCTGATAACATCGACCCCAACAAGTCTCTACAGTAAGGGTCGGTAATGATTCCAGTAAATTAAGACAGCAGTCCACCTGATTTCAACTTCAACATCTGACCGAGAAATGTTCACCTAAAGGATTCTTCAAAATCCGGGGATGGTAATGACTCCAGGGATCCAAGTCAATATCACCACTCTGGTCGCTCTTCAGATCTAAAGCAGTACTAAGAGGAGCTATTTGGGTGACACAAGAGCTGGTTCTCGCTGAGCCAAATGATCTAAAACACTAAAAAGCCCCTAAACTCCCATCATTAGGGGGATCTAAGCTGAGGTTGATTACTTAAGAAAGAGAAAGGATCCAAACCCTGCCGTTTACATGGTAAGATGGATGACTGACAACTTGACCATGATCATACAACCTTTGTAGATTTGAAGTAATTAGTGGATCTTTATAGATATAATGTATTCAGACTACATCTTTTCCTGTTTTTTGTACTTTGGGGACAATTTTAGCTGCAGCAGTCCAGATGCAGATGGCTGGATTTTCAGTGCTAATGATAATTTTTAAGTTACCATGATGATAATCATTGTGATCGGCAATGTGCAGATTCGGTACAACTGTGTCGCCCTTTCTAGTACCACCTTTTTTCCTCATGTAGAGTCTGCAATCCTGCTGACTACTGCTTTACTGATTAAACTCTGTTTTTGGCTGGTCAACATTCAACTATTTCACATACAGGTACACCGCCAAACTCTAATGGTTACTTGTTGCCTTAAAGTGATTTTTTTTTTTTTTTCAATCAAACCAGCATTTAGTATGCATTATTTTCTTTACAGTTTAGGTATTTTCTTTGTGTGCGTGATTGTGACCTCAGAAGGCTGTTAAATACTGTTCCCACCAGTCTGGTTTGCATCACTTTATGCACAATGAATGAGGGAAATCCCCAATCCTGTCAGACTGTGTGAATTCAGTGATGGTTTTATAATTTTCTGACTTAAACACATCAATCTGCAGTTTGCATGTAAACTATTTGCGCTCCATGGATTTTATTTCACGACAGCTTCAGCCTGGTGTCTCTGTCTCCAGCAGCAAAGCTCTTGACATTGCCGGCAGGAATATACTGAACAGAGCTCAACTAATATCAGTCTATCAAGGACCCGTGCTTGAAATAGTGTGACACTTACAGTTGGGGCTTGAATACCTCTACAGGCTCACATTACCATCTCCAGCACGTCATAGACACATCAGAAATAGAACAATTATAATCAGCAGCAGCAGCAGCACGTGAACAGACCACATCATTAAAAGTGTTTCTATATGGAGGTTTAAGACGGAGCATGTTGGACTTTATCACCGCTGAGAGGTGACTGTGACTTTGTCCTCAGCAACCCTCAGGCCCTAAAGATACTCATACCCAAAGAATCAGCGCTGACTACTAACTTTTTAGATCACTTTTTACAGGTTTGAAAAGAGTTGGATCATAGTTTTGGATGTCAAAATACCTCTGTTAAGAGATAAAGCGAGATGTCTGCAAATGTGTTTTTAAAAAAAATTTAAATTCCTGATATTTGAGATTCAGGTTCATGTGCAGAATTATTCTGCAGAAAATCCTTGTCTTTGCAGTAAGCCTGTCTTTGTTACATGCCACCTTATACGGAGGTCTTAAGCCTCCACGGTCGAGTGAAAAGCAGACAGCAGGAGACAGCTACAAAAATGGAAATCAAACATGTCACCCAGATTAATGTAAAACCAAGCATGAAAACCAGGTCAGAGATTTGGTCTTCATGCAAACAGGTCATTCCCCACATGTATACATGTTTAAAGTTGTGCAAGGTAGTTAACCCATTCACACCTATGCTGAAATGTAAAATATCAGCAGATTTATACAGAAATCAAATACCCAAACACACAAAACAAGTATTCAAACTCACAGCAAACCCAGAAGATAATCCAATAATGCCTTGAGAGATGCTGCAGCATGTTTAAAGTGTTTGGCATGCCTCTTGTGATTCCTCAATATGCAAATAAAATACAAAAATACAGTCATAGTGCAGGTTTTTTTCAGAAATGACAGATAACAAATCCAGTGAGGGTGCCCAAATGAATAAAAAATTAGCAGTTGTTCACTTGTTCTTGTTGTTTGAGTGTAAAATCCTTCCAAAGTTCTCAGTGAGCACCAGAAAGTCTTACAAAGGCGACTTCATTACTAAAACGCTGCAAAACCTTCTAAATATAGTTTAAATTTAGCTAGTGTACTTTTAACTATTATCCTACTGTATACAGGCATGTTAAAAGTTTAATGTACTGATTTTACCAGGAAAATCTATGTAGTTAATTTCCCTGGATGAACTAACTTGAAATGAAAAGCAGTGGCTGATAGCGTCAAGATTTCTGTATTAGTTTCCTCTGCTGTCTGCTCCCTCTCAAGGTCCAATCCATGGAGCCTGTAACACTGATCATGTTTAAGAGTGAACACTCTCTGCAGCTCTGTGCAGTTAGCTCTTGTTTGTGGAATTGAGCTGTCAGCATCACCGCTCATGCTGCCTGAAGCTATGCCAGGCTGTGATGCTAATATATGCTAACATTAGCACAACAGGTTAATGATGCAGGGAGGAAAGATTATTGGTGAAATACAACACGTGCATGAACATTACCTGGTGAACTGTTATACAATTATAGGGGCATAGTTTAATCCAGCTCTGTAAGCCTGAGGGCATATTAGCCAACATGTTCCTTTTAATCACTTTATGAGGAAATTATGATGCTGTTTTCTTAGAAAACAGTTTTTCTTTGTTGTGCTTTAATCCACTCGATCAGATGAGATATGACAAAAGTTCATTGTGTAAAAACTCCAGACTTCCTCTTTTATTTGCTTACTTTAAAGTGGGTTTTCTAGATTTTTGCAAAGCTTTATAAATGAATCAAATTTTAGTGCTGTTCTGTTTCAAATATCAAGCTGCAGTAAAGCTGACTAAGAGACACTGGTTGTCCAGTAGAGCTGATAAAACTGAAATCTAACCAAGAGGTTTTGTCTCATTTCCTGTTTAAAAACCATATTTCACTCAAAATAAAACATTCACCTAAAGACAAATCTGAGTAAAATAACTTCTTTCAAGATATTGGGAGCCATAAAGTTGATCGATTGATAAAAAAGGTTTTATTTTATTCCAAAATACTCAAACTGTGAACTTAACTTGCTGTTCTGGCAGCTGTTTTTACTTAGTCATGCTTGTAATGTCTTGAAACAGGCTGCACTATCAGGACTTTTTGGATGAATGTGGCTTATATTAAGTGCAGTGAAGTATTTTGGTCAGATATGAGTTGATAAGACTCCAGTTTTTTTGCCCTGTGTAGAGAAAGGTTTTGATTTGTGATTTCCTCTGCTGCAGCTCTCCCAGTATGACACCTTAAACAAATCCGAATCTCTTTTCCCCTGCAGTGTTAGACATGTAAATCTTGGCTGAGGTGATGTTAGAGTCGATACATTCCCAGATCACGTCAGTCATCAGGGGAAATTCATGGGCTAAGACAAAGCAGGTTTTTATCCTCGCAGCGGTTTGTGTAAGAGCTCTAATCAGCGCTGACCGGTCCAGAAAGCTGACATCACTCCCAACACACAGCCGAGCTGCAGCCAACTCTCACATGCCTTTCAGATGGAATGAGCATGAACTCACTTCCCTCATAAACTCTGAGAGTAAAGAGGGAAAGGGGGGGAGGGTAAAACGGGGTTAGACTGCTGCCCGTTTCACGTCATTTTACAGTTTTTACAAGCCATTTAGCCTCTGAGAGCTGCTGACTCTCCAGTGGTTGGTGGTCAGCCCACCAGTGATTGAGCCGGTCGCTGTCTGGAGGAATGACTCATGAGAGAGGAATAAGGCCGGACCATCCCATAAGTGACCTCAGAGAAGATTTACCATCACTGACCATCAGGATGATCGATTTTTACACAGAGGAGTTCATGCCTGAGGCACAAAACCGCAACGTTTTTCTGTTGGAGTTCAATCTGAGTGTAATTTAACAAAGTTTTTAGAGAAGTCATCAAGAATAAAACAGACGGAAGATCAATCCAAGGTCATTCGTTCACGGTGGGAGTCAGGAAGTAGTTTCATGCACATATTGGAAGTTTTAGTTTCTCCTCTTTGTTGTCAGCCATCGCTTGACAATATAACTTCTCACTATTCCTGACAAGACCAGGAGCTATCACAAACTGGCTAAAAAAAGAGGCTTCCTGTCCTCAAATTTTCATTCAGACCAAAGTCAAAGCAAAGTTTGCCCCTCCAGATAATTCTCCAAAATAAATGCTGATATTTTTTGGCTTATTACAACCCTTAAAGTATCTGCAGTTCATCTGTTTTTAGTAAGCATCAGTTTTCCTCAGTGCATTTAAATGCACAGTTAAGTCGAGCTATGGTGATGGCTGTCCCATTTTATGAGCATGAGAAGACCCGATTTGTGGACAAAACTAAGTTTCGCCTTCACTGTAGGTGCTTTTCAGCCAGTTTTTCTGGTTTGCAGCCAACCCTGTGGTTGACCGATAACATCACCGATCAAATCAATGGACGGACAAGTTTGTGAACAAGTCTTTCATTAACAATTTTTTGAGTTTCACTGCTGCTACACAGCTGCCCCTAAATGTATATATTTGAGGAACCGTTTAGGCCTTGTACACATGTAGCCGGGTGTTTTTATAAACGAATATCCAACCACCACCATTTAAAAAAAAAGTCACATACACACATCATCGTTTTCAAATAAAATCCCATCCACACAAAATAACATAAATGTACGATTGACCTTGATTATAAGCACCCCAGACCTGGAGTTGGTAGTATTTGCCAAAAAGTTAGACCCATTCTATCCAATCAGGGCAAGCTTCCCTTTCTAGTCATCACTTCCCCAAACATGAAACATAGCGCCGTATAGTTTGTTCATGTGGACCTTTTAAGACACAAGAAAGGTGGAGGAAGGGTTATTTAGTGTTGAATTCTGTACTCTGTATATATCTGTGTTGTACACTGCCTGACATAAACAAGGACGCATAGTATATGACGTTTATCTATTAGTTGTCGCAGACAATGACGTTTAGGAATTTAATACTCCAGTTATCTATGTCCACGCGCAAACTTAAAACCTAAGTTATCCAAAATCTTCACTTTGGCCGGAGTTTTCCAAAAGCATCATTTTTAATTACGTAATCCTGCGGTCTGGTGTGGATGGCAGGCCAAAACGTACAACAATATATTCATTTTAGCAAATAATGCTACATGTGTACAAGGCCTTATTCATTAACAGAGACCATCGGATGACATCACAATGGCTGCATCTATTATTCATACAGGTTACAATCAGAACATGTTGTTAGTTATGCTGCAAAAGATGGATGTCAATCAGATCATGACTCTTTTTGGTTATCTGACCTTTTAGCTCAGTAAGTTCATGATCATTTCAAAACTGGGAGTAAACAAAGTCTCTGTCTACAACTTTGTGGTCTGCCAGATTCTTGAAAAGACCAGATTTTTCAAGCTCTTCTTGGAGCGTGCAGCAGATCTTTAGTTAATCAGAAAATCTTTGTGTGTTTATCAGAGATGCTTGGTGGCTCCCTCTCTCTCATTTCCAGGTCTCTGAGGCTTTTATTCAGGGTTTAAACTTGAGCTCAGTTACACGTCAAAAGTAAACACCAAACTCCGCCTCATAAATCCATCATGATGTTATCAGTTCTTCAGTATGCCCTCGTCGTAACAGAAACTTTTCCCTCTCTGCTCTGTGTTTTGCTGTCATGGGAACAGCAGCGGCTGTTATGAAACCAAACAAGAGGGCAGACACTGTTGAACGTCCCCCCGTAAACCTCTGTTCAGATAACTGAGCTGAATTAGCAGAGTGATCTCATGGTCCCCGTCTTATCAGCCGGCCTTGAGCTGCCACTGAAGACGCTGTTACAAAGTGAAGCGGCGGATCTGGAGGCTAACAGTGACAGAAAGCTTTTTAATGATGGTAAAGGAGGTGATGAAGAGGAGATGAAGGTCTGAGGTGGATAATCGTTAAAGACCATGAGGATAAAGTCATAATGTCTGACACTGAGACATGATAGCAGAGTTTGTGTTTACAGAGAGGAAACTGATGAAAATCACAACAAATTACTACAACAGTCAGAGTCCCGAGCTCTCAATAAATCACCCAAATGATGGAGTATCTTCTGGCAACAATATTCAATAAATAGAAATAAAGCTATGAAAGAAAGAGGGAGAATATAGGAGGTAAGATATCAGAATAAATGAATGATACTGTGTTTGGAGAAAGTTACAAAAAATTTGAAGAATATAAAAAAGGGGAACTGAAAAATAAAAGTAATGTTTTTCTGTCATTGGAGCTTAAACTTTTTTTTCCAGGTTATTTTTGCAGCTTATTGTTTTCCATATTATTACTCTATTTTTCTTGTCATTATTATTAGTCCACATTACCACTGTTGCACATTATTTATATTGTAAACTAATTGTTGTTTGCACTTTTCTTTGACATTTTTCATCATTATTGAATTTTTTTAGACATTGCAAATATTTCATGATGCAAATTGTTAATATTACACACAGATTCCCATTGCAGGTTATTAATATTGCACATTGATTCTACTGCACATGATTATTATTGTCATTTTTTAATGTTTTTAATGTTTGTTAATGATTGCAAAAGGATCATTTTTCTGTTTTTATGTTGAGGACAGGAGAATATTTTAAATCTTAAAAAACTTTTTTAAACTTTGGTTTCCTCCAGTCTCGATTACTGAAACTCACTGTATACCTGCCTCTGTTGAAAATCAATGCACTACCTCCAGACAGTTCAAAACAGAACCAACAAATGTGTCTGTATCACATCCATTACAGCAGATCTGCTCAGGCTTTGTGTTTAAGGCCGAACATGAGCTTTTGATGGGGAATTTTAGTCTCATTGAGGTTCTCCTGGCAGAATAAAGGTTAATAAAATGAGATAAATACTAGGTTTCATTTTTCTTACTCATTCTGACAGAAGGTAGAGATCTAAAAACCAAATTTTAGAGTATTAAATGAAATCAAATGAAACCGTCTCCTGAATTGTCTGTGTGTCCATTTTTAGTTCTTCTTTCTGCAGCCTGCAGGAAAATAAAAGTTTTAAAATAGCTGACAGTGAAAACAGTTAGAGGGGGAAAAAAAAGCTATTAATGGAGAGAAGAGCCCCAGGAGATCTGGGCAGGGCAAAGCATGCTGGGTAAGATAACACAGAGGAGGTCAGGCAGGTTAAAGAGCTGCTCTGTTGTTTGTTTGGATTTGATGTCGATGATCACACAGTGAACATATTTGATGTTGATGTAGGACAGTGGACAGACAGTGGACTGTTTACTGGAGGAGAGACAGACTATGAGATGTTTGAGGTTCAATTCTGTAACCGTCAAAGTGCTGACTGAGTGCCTTTGAGCAAAATGATGATCCACAGCAGGATTAGTTTACAAAGGTCTTTTCATTGACTTTATGAAATAAAACAAAGTGACTCACTGTCTGATAAAAGATAGAGTTATAATCTGCAAATACCCACATACATGGTTTCATGTTTGTCTTTTTCTTTCTCTTACAGAAGCTGCACCATTTGTTTCTTTTGCGTCAGTCAGAAAGGAGCTCTTCTTTGGATGATTGCACGAAATTTCATGACACATTATCTCTCAGTTTTTATCAAAACCTTCGATGTTAACTTCATTTTGGTCTTTGAGTGCATACCAGGGGGATTACCAAAGTCTACAGGGTGCATCCTCCAGGGAACAGGACTATCTGGAGAAAATGCTCAGTTTATTATTTGTTGGAAAATGTCAGTCCAGACAGAAAACATGATCTTCTATCCTCAGAGTGACAAAGGCGTCTGTTTTCTTATCAGTAAGAGCAGCCTGTCTCCAGAGGGCACTCTCTGGTAAAGGATCTATTAAATTAATGCCTCCTAATGTTCGGCTTCCTGTAACAAAAGCATTAATGGGCTGAGACTGAAGGGAGTCATAACTCAGTGATTCACTGACTGAGAGTCCCACAGCCGCCATCATTCATGAATCAGGACGTACATGCTGCTGAGAAGGAGGGTGTGTCCACGTTACTCCGAACTTCATCACAACTTATTACACTTTATTACATCATGTTTGTCCACTTTGTTTACTCAACATAGTCTCTTATTTTATCTATAAAGTCATCCTGATGCTGCCTTTACCATGAGCTTCTGATCTTCTCCTAATGCTTCGAACAAGTCCCCCAAAAGTTTGAAGTAACTTTTCTCCTGATCTTGATTTTTGATGTTATGAAACAAAAGGTAAATAAAAATAATAAAGTGCCTGTGTCAACTAACATCAGCTTTTTGTCATCTATATTCTGTACAAAACCAAGGCAGCTCAGTGGATTTAGCGCTCAGTGCTCTTATTGTAAACACAGACACGATTTCAGGTACTGTCTCTTTAAGGCCCCCTTCCTTTATGCCCACTTTCATCTAATTGGTCAGTTCTCTGCAAACCTACTAAGAAGAGAATCTGTTGTCATACCAACAGGACTTTAGTTGTGTCCAGAATTAATCACTCAATCACTAACCCCTAACCCCCATATAGTTTCACTATATAGCTGACTATGTAGTGTCACTACATGGCAAGACGCAATGCATGACAGGATGCCCATCACAGGTGAGTGACCATCGGATGGTCACTACATTTTGCAATGCTCTATGGGAAATTTTGAGTCACCTACTGTATATGGGGCATTGGAATTGATCACTCAGGTTTCAGACACCCCTCAAAATGGCGCTAACCCCCATATAGTCGCCTATATAGGGGTTAGGGATCCATTTGGGACACAGCCTTTATCTTAAATTCCATCTTTGTCAGGTAATTAAGTCACTAACATTAATGCTGCATGTGAGTTACCTCTGAAGTCAGATGTCGGAGCTGAAAATGATGTCACACCCAAGGTCCCAGCGGTTCGGTTACCAAGTCGGTAAAAAAGCAAAATCGGAGGCCTGAAACAAGATGGCTACATCTACAAAAGTTATTTTAGCGCTTGCCTTATATTCAAACAAGGCAAGCGCTAAAATAGCTTTCGTAAATGTAGTCATCTTGTTTCTGCCTCCAATTTTGCTTTGTTCCGACTTGGTAACTGAAATGCTGGTTACTCGAGTGTGACGTCATTTTTAGCTATTAGAGGTAACTAAGATGTGGATTACAAAAATCACTGTGGCAGGGTTATCCATAATAAACGATAAATAACTCACCGGTTTGTTCATTGATTTTCCCAAAGATTCGTTTTAAGACAAATACCAGACATGATTCAGGAAACCCAAAACCTTTTTTAGCTTTAAAATTAAGGTTCTCTAATACCATGATGTTGTATTTTGTATAATAAAATCATAGTAATATGTCTGTTATAGGCTATTTATTATCACCTTTACCTTTACTTTGATATATAGATAGGATAAAAAAAATCCATGTATCATGAACATACCCCTGCATGTACAGTATGTATCATTACAATATGATATATTCAGGTATTATAGTGATTCAGCATTTGAAGGTGTCTTGAACAGCACAATATCATAGAATATCATTTTAACTGAGAAGCAACTTTCACTGATGCTTAATCTTCACCTTTACTCCACTCTCACAAAACTGCCCTAAATGGTACATCTCATCTCACTGTGTCTAACGTGGAATCAGATCGTGAAAAAAAACCTCTCCGAGAGGCAACCTCATAAAAGCTCCTGACTCTTCAAAAAGCAGCATCTCTGTAGTTTAAAAAATTGTGCAGACTGACTCAGACTTTTGTTTACCTCCTGATCCTAGACTAGATTTGATGAATATCCCCTCTGTGGGTCTTAACAGAGACTAGCCACCAGGGGAGCGCCACATATTTTGGCATTACTCTCAGGTAATGGTCCCGCTGTTCATCTGCTATCATTTTCATGTAAACAGTTGTGTAAATAGCACCCAAATTTGCTTTTATTCTTCTGTACTGCGAAATACTTAGTCTTGAGTTATGTTTATATCAAAAGAGTCACTTTGATGCAAAACTGGCACAAAATCCACACAGAAATGTTTGAGTTTGTTGACGCTCAGTTCAAGTTTTTGCCATACCTGTAATCTGTGAATTTTACTCTCTGAATCTGTGCTAACCTCAAACCCCTCTTAGTTTTTGTGGCTCTAAATTTCACATCCAAATGTTAAAAACATGCATATAATAAACGAAGTCTTCTCTTAGTAGTCATGCCGTGTTGAGATTTATAAATAATGACTTTTTGCATCATCTCAACAGCTTGAATTTATTAGAAAATTTTTGGAAACTATCCTTTTGTTTTTTAGATCTTATAATCGATCATATATATTTCTTAAGTTTAAGTCCAGTTTTAAATAGTCATAGCGTCAAATCCAGGCTCTCTTACCTGTTCTCTGCTCTCTCTGTGGTGCCACAGGTGTTCAATCCAAAGAGTGACTCCAAGTTTTCCTGCTCACCAACAGCATTCACAACATCACAAAGTGAATTGTTTTTCCTGTGTTTCTTTTCTTCTCTTTTCTCTTTGTTTTCTTCTTCTCTGCCAAAGTTTAAGACTCAGCTTCAGAGCGACGTGAAGCTCTGTCTTCTCCAAGTTTGGTCTGACAGTTTTCGGGGCGAGAGACGTAGAGTTATAGCTGAGGAGAGAGAGGAATAAAAGAGAGGGAGAGAGAGAGAGAAAGAGAGAGAGAGTCTTTTCTTTCAGCTTCAGTAAACTCTTGTTTTCTCCTCTTTCTCTTCGGGCTGTGTGTGAGAGTCTGCTCTATATTTAACCTCTGCTCTCAGAGTCTGTTAGCAGCTGAACTGACTGACTGGAGCTTTAACAAACCCCTAACAGCTGAACTGAGAGCCGGTCCAGCAGCCTGACCACTCCTCCTCTCCTCTCCTCCTCTCCTCTTCTCTCTTGGCTCGGTTTGGGTTGGTTGGATGAGGTTTCCTCTCCGTCCTGCTGTAGCTCTGTAACTTTAGTTCTGTTTTGTTTTAAATTTCTCACAGCCTCAAACTTTTACTCTAAATCCTACTCAGCGTCCAAATTTGCCAAAAATACCAAAGATGTCACCTAGGATTTGGGGAAATGTATAAAATGGAAATTAAGAAGGCAGATTTCTGTTACATCCAACATTTTAGCCTCTAAATTCTTTTATTTTCAATAACTTAAGTGGTGAGAAATGTTTGTGTTGAATCAAAGCAGCCGTGGAGAAATTGAATGATTGTTTTTGTCTGTTCAAGTGCAGGAGGTTGTAAGAAAATATTAGAAAAGTCCAAAAAGTGATCTCTCCTGGAGGAAAATTTCTGCAACTCTTCATTTTTTGCACTCTGAGGAGGGATTGTGCAAAATTACTCTGAGCAGTCAGTCAAGATGAAATCCAGAAACCTTATTCTTACATTCAGCACTGTTTCGACAAAGTCACCAAAATCTAGATACCGGCTGTAAAGTTATCTATTTTAAATGCGTGAAAGGAGTAAAGCTATACCCACTTTCATCCTCCTGTATGCATGTGCATGATTGCTTCTCTAGATTCCCTGTGTTGGCTTTGCACACTCTAAAAAAAAAATGACGCAATATAAAGCAAGATGCAGTTTGCACATGGGCAGTAGGGGGCAGCATAGAGTTGAAAGGGAGTGAGAGTCAAGTAGCAATGAAGATAACAAAGACGAAAAGATTCAAAGACAAGACTGAGTCTGTACGATGTGTCCTACAGCACAGAGACAAACTTACCGGTCAACTGAACTTTTGGTCGACAAACTCGCTGGACATTCAGTTTCCTCACTAACATCCTAAGTGTGCTTAGCTATTCGTCAAGTCAGTCATGCTTTTGATTTACCAAACTCGTAATCTGCACAGAATATCAGAATATCCCACAACTCATCCTGGGAGCAGGGTGCATGCAAACTAACCCAGCGCCACATACTATCACCCTGTTCTTCATAATTTGAAAACAATATAAAATGAAAAATAAAGGTCTATTTTGTGCCAATGAGCATCATGCTGTTTTACAGGAGTCTTAAAATGACAATTTTAGTGTTTCTATTTCAAAATATGTGAATAAATCAAGTAAGGAGTAGGATCATTCTTTCATAGACTACGATTGAATTTTCCTTCGGGGATCAATAAAGTTCCTCTGAGATCTCGTGTAATCGGACTGCTGCCCCCTGCAGGTAATATAAAGAATGCATGCTAAGGCTCTTCTGCACTGCCTTTGTTTTTCACTCAACTTTGTCAAATGTGAAAGCCTTTTGCTCCAACAACTGTTTTATTTTCTGGAATTATCCTTCAAACAAAATCATGTATCTGTGTGAACATGCTCCACACTTTGGTGAGATTTGATATTTACTGGAAGAAGCGAGGACTCCAGAAGTCGTGTGTTCTTGAGTGGGTGAATGTTATGTAAGCTGACTAGGCCTTACTTCTTTGTTTTATGAAATGATGAGATTGTTTTTCAAGTGCTGACATGTTTGGATGTGTTGCAGGATAAAACAAAAAAAACCTTTACTGTGTTTATGACTAAAAATATCTCAGTAAAATCTTTCTGTGATTAGTAAATCACTGCAGCAGTGACACATAACACCAGAGGCTGATGGGATGAAGCTTTAATGTCAGCTGTGTTGTGTCTGCTGCAGCTGCATGTCAAACTTTGTAACAACACAGAGCTCGAATTCTCACAGTTTCTCGCTCCTAACACCCAACTCCAACTGGCCTTTATGAGGAACAAATGTTCCTGTATTTACAGCGAGGAATTAATCATTTTGAGTTTGAAAAGGCGCCCCTGGCCTTCGCTCGCTCCAGCTTATGTAAAACTCGCTGAGACATTCAGGAGAGCACAAGGTCCAAGCTGGGGTTTGGGTAACTTTAGAACAATGAATAGAGAGAAATTAGCAAACACCCACACCCATTCGTTTACAGCTAAGCCGCAATGTGAAAAACTGACTCATAGGTACATGCTTATGGCCGACAATAATAAACTCTACATAGTTTCTCCTGTACCATTCTGAATGAACATTAAGTTCAGCTCAGCAGGACGGGAACATCATTAGTTTGGCAGGTGTTCATTAAACAGAACATGAGGAAAAAAGGACTTTGACTCTAATGGTAGAGCCGGATAAAAAAAACTTAATGACTCCGGCTCAAAGAAAAAGAATCATAAAGTAACCAGGGATCATCCTCTGGGATCACGATTGTAAGAACTAAGCTTTCAAGTCAAGTTATCTAAAAGTTAGGAAAAGATTTCCCCAAAAATCAAAGACATACTTTCAGTGAACACATATGACATGTCAGCAAATCTCCACAGCAACATAGAAATCCTCTGGGGATCAAGAATACCCTCAGAAAATTTTACAAAGAATCACCTAAAAGTTGAAGAATTATTTCAAAGTCAGCTTTATGTTTGTATGCATTTGATAGATTGTATGCAGTATAACTATAAGAGGCTGCAGGATACAAGTTAACAAAGTCAGAAGAGCACATCATCCTGGGACCATGAATGTCCTCAGAGCAGTCTATAGACAGTTATATTGATATATCTATCAGGAAAAAGAAAAGTCCCAAACATCAGAGAAAGTCACTCAGAATCAAGCATCACAAGCTTTTTAGAGTTATCCTCTTGGGATCATGAATGGGGGAGCAAAAAAATGAAAAGAAAAAATACAGTAAGTCATTGAAAAAACCATATTTCTCTAGATTAATTAGTAAGGAAAAACAACATCATTGACACGCTACAGTCATAATCAGAAGATAACCACAATCATACTCTGGGGATCATTAATAACTAAACACAATTTAAAATTCTGTCTATCAAAAGGTGACAACATAAAAAAAAGACAGCAAGAGTTAGGTGATTGCCAAAGTCAGACAATTCATCGGGATAATGAATCGATAAACCAAGACATAATGAACTAAATGTAAAGTCTTCCAATAATAAAAAATACATTTCTACAAACAACTATGAAGTAAAAACTTATGAAGATGGCATATGAAAACTTAAAAGATCACCACAGGTTAGACCGTTCATCCTCTAGGGAGCATGAATTCATGAGCCACAGTTAACTGAATTTACTGCAGAATCATTCAAAATTGACTATAAATTTTCATCAAAAACTACAAAATAAGACCTTTAAAAAACTCACTTAAAACTAATGGCATGGCTATATGTTAGAGAATTCATCTTCTGAGGAGCAGGAAATTATCAACCACCACAATTTATTCATCTGCTGCAAAATCGACGGATGGATGGATCAGACATTTCTGTATTTAGGTCTTAAGTCAAACCTTAAAAAGATGGCAATCTATAACTGTAGCATCACCACAGGATAGCAATCCTCTAGGGAGCATGAATGTATTAGTAAACCCAGAAAATTTTAAAAGAAATCAGAGGAAAACATTTAAAAAAGGCCATAAAAGGGTCATGTAAAATATGATGAGTGATATATTCTGCAGCTGTGAGGATGTTTCAGTTTGACAAATGATTGAATGATTACGAGAGCCACACATTAAAAATGAATAACTGTCACACTTTTAGATGAATTATTCGTCCTCCTGCACTCACACAGTCACAGAGCATCTGCCACCTTTTCTACTTTATCTGCTAATTTTCCATTAAATCAAATCGCTGGAGGGACTCGATGAGAATGGAGGCTGCAGCCCGATAACCACCACAGTGCTCTAATGAAGGAAGAGGCCATGACTCAGTTCACTGTAATGAGCTCCTCCTGCAACTCGGCACATTACCCCGTGAGTTATCATGGAGTATTTATACAGCAGAAAGCTGAGATTACAGCTATCTCATTCATCCAGAGCACTTCTAAAGCAGGAGCTGCAGCTTGGTGATGAGGTTACATTATGCAGAGTCACATATCTCAGGTAGGTACTTGGATGTTTCCAAAATAGGTTTTTCAGAGATGCACTGGTTTGTTAACCCTTTAATGTAACTCTTTAACATATGCCTTACATGTTTGGGCCCTCAAATAGAAGAAAAAAAACACCAACCTACATCTCCAAATCTCATTTTACTCAGTCTGTGCTAAATCATTCATTCTAATCATACAATAACATAATCATAAATTTGTTTGCATTACGAAGAGACATGTTCAGAGACATAAAATTAGATCAATTAATCTGTCTTTTTCTTAATCTCTACATTTTATCTCTGTAAACTGAAAATAAGATAGTTTCAGACTCTATCAAAAAAAAAAAAGTCTCACATGCTTCTGTTTTGTTTTGCACTTTAATAGCTTTGATTTTACTCAACAACTTATGGTCAATAGAGACATTAAAACAATCTTAAACATCAAGTATTTTATTAAGTAAATGTAAGATAAATTCGAAGAACCTCAAACCATTAAAAACTCCCCTTCATTTTGTCGTCTGATCTGATAAATTATGTTACTGTTGATTTAACTGACTGATAAATAGGAGGTCACATTATGTCATATTTCAGATGTTGAAAAACAAAACAAAACAGCACAATCATTTGTCAATCTCACTGCGGAGGACTGTAGTAGTGTATGCAGTGACATCATTGTTCTGATACCTTCATTTCTATGATAAACAGCGCCCCCTAGCTGAGTCTAATGTTTCTGCATGTAAATTATCCTCCAAAGAGTTGCATTTATCCTCACCTCCTCATCTCTTTGTGATAAATTATCAAGTTAATGTTAAAATTCTTGTTTAACAGTATTAATAATGAAAACGAACACCTCAGCACAGATTAAAAGTGTTTTAGCGTTTTAAAATGTAAAAATAAATCCCAAACCCGGAATTTTTTTCAACTTTCTGCTGCTTAATTTTGTACAGCTATTTCTATCTCAAGCACATAAAACCAAAATGGTCGTTTGAATTCAGATTAAAGGCTGTTAGTATATAAATGTGTCATAAACAAACCCTCAACCACAGCTGTGTAGGTTAGTAGGCTAAGAAAGCCATCGAATACGAACAAAATACGCTTCCTGATTAGCCTTTCAAAATAAAATAGAAAATTTGGTCCGTGTTTGGATAATAGACTGTATATAGAATGGACAGCGTTTGCCTCCTTGCTGGGTGAAGCCACTACGAGAGCAGCGCCCTCCGGTGACGGGCTGCAGTATAGGTCCTAAATCCTGCTTCCACCAGCAAAGTTTACAGAGCTAACTTTAAAAATGTATTACTCAGAATACAAATTTATCCCCACCCTGCTTGTGGTGTTGACGTGTAGTTACTGTAAGACTAGTTTGTGCTCATGTCCTCTTTTTTATAATATAGGGATAACTATAATAACATATAGCAATAACATAAATGTATTTATTTTCAATATAAATATCTGCCTCATGTTGCCATTTTTATTGTTTCTAACAAACCAAACAGCTTGGAAATCATGTGCAACTTAAGTTTATGTTAAAACAAAAGAGCATTTCTGCCTCTTCAACCGATGTAAAATTGCTTGGTCAACTTTGTAATAGGTGGTCTCACTCACAGCGGGTCTGTTAGCCAAGTTAGACAGCTGAAAAACACAGGTACATCCACAAAGACCGTAACTTAGACAGAGAAAAAAAAAATGCTGTCATATAAAATTAACATCTCGATTGTGGTCTCAGCCTTGATAACTCATGCAAAGCGACTCAAAGTTAGCAACTGTATGTGCAAATAGCCGTTAAACAACTGTGCTGCATGATTAAGTCTTTTTTCTCAAAGAAAAGCCACCATTTTAATGGTGCCCGGCTCATAGCCACGATTAATGTCTTTGATAAACAAAACCGTTTGTAAATCTGACAAAATTTCAGCGAGTTAAGAGTATTTTTCATCATGCAAATTACTCACCTTCAGTCAGCTACCATACAATGTACCAGAATGGTATATTGAAGTAAGATGGCTGCCGTGTACTGCTTCGATTCATCTAGCCTTTCTTATATATGTCTTTGGTCCCTTCCCTATACAGTCTATGCTTGCAACATAGCCCAAATTGTTTATTCATGCACAGTCTTAATATAGATAAAAATTAACTGAAAAAAAGATCAATTAAAAAATCCAATATTTCTGATGGTCTTGTTGCAGGTTTAGACTGGAGTTTTTCATTTAAACTTTTTGAATATTAAGTTAAAGACAGTTCTTACAAGAGCTTTAAGTAAGGTTTTAAAATAAAAGTTATTTTCTTGTGATTGAGTTATTTCACTCTGATTTGTAGTTCTTCAAAAACTAAACAACACTCTACCCCTACTACTTGAAGACTGACACTTACCTTTATTTTGAAGGTTTTTATCTGTTCCCGGCTGTTGGGCGAGTTTCCCGGGTAACTTGACTGTGAGCGACTCTGAGCAGCAGAGGAGCAGCTACAGAGCCGATCCGCTGCCTTAGAGGCTGATGAGCAACACTATCATCCGAAGAGGATCATGGAATAAACATGGCCCATAATAGAAGCCTTTTTCTTGAAGGTAAGCTGCGACACTCCGCTGTCCTCCGCCGGCCTGTCAGCAGCCATTTTACCCCCACACAGAGCTCGGATTCCCGCTGGTCGAGGCAGATTCTGGGTCCGCTGCTGTCACTAAAAAGGTCCAGAAATATGTGTGCATCCAGGGGCTAAGTGGCTAACACTGGCCTCTGAAGGCTGCATTGCTGTTGTAGGTGAAAACCCCGATATGAGCGCTGCCAGGCCGGTGACAGCGCCACACCTTCGGGCCTGGGTGGAGAATATGTCACCCCGGCTGGAAGCGGCTCGGTTCGGTTAATTTTAAAGCTCCAGCCCGGCTAGCAAGTCAGAGCTAGCCGTGTTAGCGCTGCCGTTAGCTGGGTCTACAATGTGCCAGCTGAACGTAGAGATGGGCCTCTCTGCCTGAGCTGAGATGTTAGCTGCTTTTTAACGTTTACACAACACTTTAAAAACCCAAAAATACAAAATTAAGAGTTTTTCCTCAAATTTATTATCTGCTGAAATCTTAAAGCTAGTCTGCTAATAATCCAGCTAACAGGCTAAGATAAAAGTCTGAGTGTGTAAACAGTCCTGATCCCAGAGGTCCATGCTGAGACATACCGGTCCCCCCTTTATTATTAGATTATAGCTTCTGTCTGAGGGGGTACATACTACCAGTACACAAATAAATAAGATAACAACATTAAGACTGACCCAAAACTGTAAAGTATTTTGTTAAAAAATAAGAGGATATTCAATCTGGGATTTAAAATATCCAAGGGCTCATTCAAATTCAGACCAGACATTTTTCTCAGGTTTTACTCCTTAGTGGCCCAGATTTTTCTAAAACAATGAGCCATTTAGCTTTATTTTTTGAACATCATGAAACAAAAAAAATGTGTCTTGTTTTAGATCTTTGGAAAGATGGATTTTGACTTGCATCTGAGAGCCAGAGACAAGAGGTTAGATAGTATTGACAAGGATTTTTGGTCACTTCATGGGGTCATACTACCTGAATAAACCACAAGGAGTAAAACATTAGTTGAAATATCAACCTGAGAGGAACTTATCTGGAAAGACTCCTCAAATTTCTACAAATTTTCTATGGGAAACTTATTGGATATATATTTTCAGTTGAAATAGCTGCTGTACATGAAAGTTTTGAGATCCTCTGCTAGGGATGGTAATCGAGATCTGGTTCTTGTTGAGAACCAATTCCAAAATGGTTCAATCCATAAACATTGTTTACATTTTCATTTTAATGAGCTTTGGAAAACGGTCTTGTGAGAGGCAGTGTACGCGAACGAGAACAGAGACTTTAAGGAAAAAAACATGCCGGATGGTACAGATTGGACAGAAACAGTCTAAAGCGTGGCTTAATTTTACTAAGAAAGACGACAAAGAGTTTTGTATGGAAGTTTTGAGTTTGTGTGGCGTGGACTGAGTTATAAAACACTCAACCCAACCAGAAAAACCCTCAAAATTTTGCGCATGACTCCACCCCACATAGTCATGTCCTCTTTTTGGGGCTCCAGAGTATGGTCACCCTAATTTGACTTAATACCGATCAAGTAAATGTTGTACAAATAGTTTGTCGTTTGATTATTTTTAGACTCTCACCAAATGTGGCATACATCTGTTTCTGTTATCAAAGACTCAATAAAATTTGAGTTATCATTGAAAACCTATAGTCTACTTTTTTTTTTTCAAATAAAAGAAAGACATTGATAAGAGAATTGAATTGATAAGCAAATCCTTAATGGCAACGATAGCAATAAAATCCTATCAATTCCTATCTTTATCCTCTGCTAATTTTAAAGTTAATATTTTAGGTTCAGCACAGCCAGCCCAGATTCCAACCTGACCAAAATAAAGATGAAATAGTTGCAAGGGGCTAGAAATATGGTGTTAAGATGTTGTTTGCATAGCTGCTGAAAATATCAGAAAGTTCATAGCTCAAGGAGGACTTTCAGGCTCATGCACAGGCTACCTGTTTTCATGAGAAAACCAGACATTTTTGTAGCAGAATTCCCTCCGTTTGATAAAATAAAGGAGGCAATTGACAGAAAAGGTGCTCTACCATTTATTGTCTTTACTGCTCAATTAAATAATCTCCTCCAAATGTCAAAAAGCAGCAAAAGAAATAATTTCATATTGCATATTTAGTCACACCAACCAAAGGATTGCATCAGGACTCTGTAGTGATATCAGTGCATGTTTATTCGAGAGATAAGTTGCTCTCACTTGGAGGGTTGACGACAGTTCTGAGTGACAACAAGCTGCTCGGATCTGAACATCATGTGAGAGTCAAAGCTCTCTTTCAGCTCCACCAGCAGCACTCTCCCTTCAGCCTGCTGGATAAAAGATGTCTGTGTGGTTGTAGCTGTCGTCAGAGGTCCTGTATCTGTAAGAAATCTAAAAACATGTCTCTCTGTGTGTGTAAGCTCCGTAGGGACCTTGATGCCCCCCTTATAGACATTATCAGGGTGTTTGTCGGGATAAATAGAGCACAAATCCTGCAGGCTGTAGAATTGACTCTATACTAACTGGGAAATATTACAGACTGCTTTATTTGGCTCATGGTGGGTAAAAGCAGAAGGTGATTTGACTTTAGATTTTAAAAGCCCTTGAAACGGATAATCTGTTGGGCTCCAGTATTTTACTTAATGTTCACATCTTTCTGCATTTACAGTCCCATTAATTCAGCATCTGCTAAACTACATCTGCAGCTGCTGGTGGAGAACACAAGCAGGAGATGAGTTTGGACGGAACATGACGCAGGTTTTTTAGGACCTGTATTAAAGAAAAAAATAACACTGATTCTCTGAAGCAGAGGGTCAAACTAATATTTACCTTCTGGGCTCACAGCCAGATGGACAACCGAAGTTTCCACTTTGAGTTTGACTTAATTTGTTTAAAACCACAGCACATGTATGATCTTAAACTGAGGTGAAGAACACGTCATCTTAAATAATAGAGTATTCATTAACAAACTGACCCGGCGTGTGGCCAAAGTCTTCTGCTTCTAGATGCGGCAGGTTTTGCGGGTTATTAGACCTTGTTTGTTATTTCTGTTTTCATAAATTTCAGTTGATAATTACAGGAAAAGGGAAGCCAGGGCGTCAACAACGTCCAGCTGCTGCTCTAACGTTTATACGTCAACAAGTTAGTAGATAAGATTATTTTTGATGCTTTTACTGTAAAGTATTGGCAAGAGGCCCAGGCTTCCTTTCTGCGTGCGAGATGAAAGATTTTTTTACCTTCTAACCCTTTGGGGAAGTCTTAACACTATTACAGATGCACACACAGCACCAGATGGCTTTTTGGCAGTTTAAATTTCATCTTCAATCCTTCAGAGATTCCTGATGGCTTTCAGGAGAAATTCAGAGAGGAATCATCTTTTTGGTCTCTGTATAAAAATACCATGTGAAAGTTTATACACGACATGCAACTGTTTACCACTGACTGATGCTAACATTGTGGTTCAGCCAAAGGAAATACTAAAATGCGTAGTTATAAATATACACTAGTCTGTGACCATAGCCTGTGTACTGTAATAGGCTGATATTGGTTCATCTCAAATAATACAATATGATACTGCTCAATGAATGGAAATAAACACACCTATACATTCTAAGTCAACACTTGAGTGTTGGCTAGTTGCTGTTATTAATCCTTGGTTATGCTGTAGGGCTGGGCGATAAACTTTAATTAATTTACCGATACCGAAGTTGACGTCAATAACCAACGTCATTTTGCCTGTGTCAATATATTCTGTGTCAGGAAGATAAATAAATAAAAGTTGGTTTTGGATGTGTGTAGGTAGGCTATGGTCTCATGTCCCTTTAAGACACTGTCCTACGTCAGAGACGTGACTCCACCCCATCCAGTCTGTAACAAAGAGGAAAAAACAGGTGAGGAGATGGAGGATGGTTCAAAAGTTGTATCGGCTGAAGTAGACAAAGTTAAAGTGGGAGGGGGTGAGCAGAATGTGGAGTAGTTATCATCTGTTTATCGTTATCAAGGGGAACTGTTCAATATATTGTGATATTGATTTGAGGCCATATCGCCCAGTCCTATTATGCTGGATACTTTGATATTGCACTCCTGTTCATTATTACCTGGATATCCTAGATATTGCAGTTAGGGCTATTAAAACTTGAATGTCCTTGATAGTGCAGTAGGGGTTAATTATACATGGACATCTTGGATAATGCAGTTAGGATTATCAATACCTAGATGTCCTTGAAAGTGGGGTTAGGGTTCTCTATACCTGGATACCCTGAATAGTGCACATAAAGGTGTTAATACCCTGATACCCTGGATAGTGCAGTAACCATTACTATTAGTATCATATGAGATTAATGTCTCACTCTCTTCATGCACCACCACTTATCTGTTGTTAGGATGCTAATTGGATATTTCTCCTCATTGAAATCCCTCTCTGCTCTTCAAAAATCAAATATCCAGCAGGCTTTATTTAGACACGCTGACTGGCGGTGCAGCGGAGAGAAGCTTTTTACCTGTAACCTAGATCTTTATGCTGCTGCCACTCCGATATAGTCCAGCCTGTGGCCTCTGTGTAATGGAGAAAGTATTGATTGTAATCTGTTGCAGACATGGAGCTCTGGAAAATTGTCAAATATCAGCGGTAGCTGATCTTTTATCAACAAAAGTGGTGGAAAAGGTTCTGAATAACACACGCGTTCAGTATTTTTATACCCACTCTCATCACTCAAATCTGGATATTTGGTTATGTAATACTCTGTTTCTGTTTGCATGGGTGAAATATATTTTCTCATTTTGATGCTTCTTTATTAGCTCAGTGTATAACTGACAGGTAAAATGATGTAATATTTTAATGCTTGTGCATGTCCATATGTGCAGAGTTAGGGTCCCACTTTGCGAAATGTTTTTTGTGTTGTTGTGTAGTTAAGATACCAGCCCTGAAACTGTGCAGTCTGCATGGTGGTCTTGTACTGATGGTTTATTATTCAATTCAAGCCCTGGATAGGTCAGAGACCAGGGGAGATGGAGGCTACAAGCACAGCTGGGGCTTTTCTCACTCTGATGACAGTGAAGAGGAAAGGAGACATGAGTAAGCACTTCTCCAGCCCTCGTTTGTTTTCAGCACCACCATCAGCTGCACTGCATCACTTTTTCAGCTCACAGCTCCACTGCCTCCACACAGGAAAAGACCCCAGTGACACCTCCTGCTGATGAGCAGGCTATTCCCGTCTCTGATGATGTACTCGGCAGCCTTTTTAGCTCAGCGATACAGAGCAGAACCCAGCACTGGCAGAGAACAATCCTCACCTCTGTTTCTAAAATCAGGAAGGACAAATCGCCAGGGTTGGATCAGTAGATTATAAAATGTAATAACATCAAGAAAAATAACAAAGCTCTCAAAGAAATGACTTCTGCTGGACTTATTAAATTTATTTCAAGAGGTTTTTGTTTTTTGGAAGGTAGGGCTAAAGCTAGTATGGATTTTTCTGGTGACAAATTTTGTAGTAGATTTTTCAAGGGATTTTTAAATTTGGACTAATTAACTGTCTAAAACAAACAAAAAAAATCCCCATAAAACAGACCTGAATATTAACAGACTTCACCATTCAATGACATGATGCCTTGTCACCTGTTTCCATCCAGATAGTAGAGAACTGTAGTAGAAAGGCAGTGTCCACTAATCAGAGCCTGGGCTGTAAGACACAACAGCTTACTAACATTTCAGGCTGACAGTCAGGAGCAGAATACTAACATTTAGTTTAACCCCCCTGTCAACCTGCTGTTGATTTAAGTAGTTAAATGAACAAATCTTGCAAATGTTTATGTGTTTTACCTGCAAAATGACTTCAGCCTTAAATTCTAACTGTGGATGTAGTTAAATATTGTCATTAATGTTAAATGTGTGCATTCTCAGCGCAGAAGTGAATTAAGATAAATAATTGTAGCAAATTGGTCTGACTCTAAAAACCATCTGACACACACACACTCTGAGTACACACAGATATAACACACACGATAAAATGTGTGATTGAAGATGTTTTCCTAAAGAGCACAAACTGTGTGTAATCTCTGTAATCTGTGTTCATTTCCCTCTCTCAGTGCCAGTGTGGTGAGCACAGAGGAGATGGACAGGCAGCAGCCCACCTCCCCCGAAGAGAAAAAGGTAAACGTCTCATTATGATCTCTTCTCTCCCTCTCTCTCATCCTTTCACTCAAGTTTTTCAGACTGAGCCAAAGCTCGACACCTAGAGGACCTCTGTAGTCCTGAAGTTAAAGCATTCATGAGCTCCTCGAGGGCTGCTGCTGGGGCTGGTTTTGTTGTTGTTGTGATTATAAACGAGTATAAAGGATTATCATCTGCACTAGCTAGGAATGATGCTAGACATGTAACACATGAATTCATGGTTTGCTCTGCAGGCCTACATGCATTGTCACATGAATATTGTTTCATGCAACAATATTTAACAATAGTAGATAGTCAAAAGTTGTCTTGAAATTTTCAAATAGGTTTATGTTCCATATATTTTTAAGGTTAAGATGCACCTTCATGTGTAAAATATGGATGTGTCTCTGACGTCACCCATTAAACTCTGAAGAGACGTTTGAAGCTCAAAGATGACAGATGGAAAATGCCGACTCAACCTACATTTCCTGTATAACCGCTTCAGTTCATCACAAATGTCTTTGTTGTCTCCCTCAGACTCCCACTCTCAGACACTTCACGTCCTCGGACTCTCTGAGAACGTATGAAAACCGGCCAAATAACCACATGAGGTCTCTGAACAGGCTGCCGCCCAAGAGGTTCAGGTACAGTAGATGGAGTTTCTTTGTAGCTTAAAAGACTAGAACATCAGCATGTAAGTAGTGATATGTAAACAGTGTGGAATTGTCAAATTATAAGGATTATAAACCAAATGAACATACAGAACATATAGTATTTGACCTTCTGAAAGGACATTGGTGCCTCATCTATGAGAGGCGTGAGCAAGGGAGACAGTTCTGCACACGTCACTTTTTATTAACAGGAGAAGAAACCTGCAGAGCATGTTTCAGATACTGCAGGTTATAAGACATGGTGGGCCGGAAGCAACACAAGGTTATCTAGTTAGTTGGGGAACTGACTTGGGTGACAAAAGTGTACTTGGTGGTCCACCCAGGTATCGTCTGTTTGTGGGAAACACCTCCATAGTTTTTTTCATCAGGTGGATTTGTGTTAATTTTTCTGTGTGTCAGGTTAAACCTCTCAAGGTGTAACTTTATGATACTTTTAAGTTTATTTTCTATATTTTAATCTGCTTTGTGATGATATGAGGAGCTGATATTTACAGATAGTGTCTTTACTCTTCTGTTTGTTTACATCCCTTTGAAGCGGTTATAAAAGTGTTGAATCCTCCCTGTTGTTTCCCACCTGCAGCGAGGTTCCTCTCACAGTAGCAACATCCTCCCCCATGCCCAACAGAACCAACTATTTTATCATCAGTCCTACGCCTTCACAAGGAATCGTTTTACAAGGGCGACACTTTCAGCACGCACAGATTCCCTCTGCGACAAGGAAACCGGTCCAAAGGTAAGACGCAGAGTTCAGGATTGTCCTGACTGCCCTTGTGGGTTTCCTTTTTTTATTTTGTGTTTCTTTAACGCGTTTGAGATTTAAAAGGCTGATTGTGTTTAAGTGTCATCATACTTTCTCTTAATGCTGTACATCATAGAGTCAGTGTCTGCTGTTATTTCTGCTGTGATACTATAACACATACCCTGTTTGCTCACTGCATACGTGCTACATAAACAGTTTAGTGTGCTCATAAAATCAAACTCCCTCTTCATTCTGGAGGATTTTATACCACTGAGAACATTTTTATTTCTGATATATCGGTATTTTTCTATTTTGACATTTCTATATTGGGATTTGAAAATACAGGAATTTATACAAAACATTTCAAATTTTCAATAGCTCAGTTTGACTTTTGTTTAATTATTTGGAACTTAACCAGATCCTTTCTTACCTTTACCACTCTGTGTCCAGCTCTCTGATAGGCCATGGCACCTGTGTGGTTGATACATAATAACGTATATAAACACAAATTCCACCAATGCTGTTGTGTGGCCATTAATAAAATGATTCTGATTCTGATAAGATGATAAAGGAGGATGATGCATAATAAAATTTAATAACACTTGCAATGGACCTGTTTAAATACAGGAATGGGTATTGTTGAGGACCTCACAGTTTAGTTTTATTTCAGTTCAGTTTATGATTTCAGTTTAAAGCATGTTTATATATATACATATATATATAAATATATATGTATATATATATATGTATATATATATATATATATATATATATATATATACACACACACATACATATGAGGTCAGATTCAGGATCAAATGAGCGCACTGGCCTGGGTTCTCCTGGAGCACTCGCCATGTTTTGGTGTTTTTCTACCTCTGCATCTGTCTGCACCCTCCCCTCATTATTAAAGCTAAAAATACCAACATATGGGCTCTTTGAATGGAAATAGAGGTGTGAAATTAACTCGGGTTCATTATTAGTGTGCTGTTCTATGCTGCAGTCTGCTGGGGAGGCAGTATCAAACACTAAGATGCGAAGCATCTGAACAAACTGATTAAAAAGGCTGGTCCTGTGGTTGGAATCAAGTTGGACTCATGGAGATTGTGGTGGAGAAATGTACACTGAGGGAGGTGGAGTCTATTCTTAAGAACATGGATCACCCACTTCACAACACCTTAATGGACCAAAGGGCCAATGGTGGTGGACAGCTCCTCTCTCTTCGCTGCAGGACAGAAAGATTTAAAAGATCTTTTGTACCAACAGCCATCAGGCTTTACAATTCTTCTAAAAATAGTAGATGACTTTTTGAGACATGAGGAATGAGACGACAGACAATTGAATTTCCCTTCAGGGATCAATAAAGTTATTCTCCTTATTCTTATTGAATTCATGCTGTTTAGTTTTGGTGCAGAGAAGAGTGATTTAGATGAAGAAGCAGATTGTAAAAAGGACTTAAAGCAAATGAGTTGATAAATTGTGTTTTCTTTCATTTTAATCTTCAAGCAGCCTTGATTTGAAGGAAAGGTAAGAGTCTGAACTGACTCAGTCATGTTTCATGCTCCATACTTGTCAACATCTTTTACAATCATCCACACAGATATTGTTTTAAAGGCGACATTAAGCAATGATTAAAACACTAACCTTGCTGTTTGTGCTGCGGTCAGTGAGTGTTTGGTGTTTTCAGCAGTTTAGACTTCTTACTTATCTCTACAGCCTGGCTGATGATTTGCCAGCCTCCACTCTATTTTTACACGCAGTGGTCCTCATCCCTGTGATCTTACACTTCATGCATCTGCTCATCGACCTTTGACCCAGATTTGTAGAGTGTATCTACACCATAACTCCCATTATCTGCATGCCATCACAACAGCGAACACAACAACAGCTCGTTACGGCTTTTAGTTTTTAAACGCCTTCACTCAAAAGCTGATCGGCTGTGAGGGTGAATACTTTCTTCATAAACCCTGAAAGTTAGAGAGAGACTGATTAATTGGTGAAGCTGTTGGAAGACATTGGAATGAACTGGATCGGTTTATGATTAAAGAATAAAGCAGTAATACCTGCAAAGGCTGCAGAGAGCCTTGTCAGTGTGGCATAGGAGAGAACATTGTTTTTTTTTTTGTTTTGTTCACTTAGATTTGTAAATTGGCCTGTGACAGAGTAGAAAATCAACAATAATATTTCAAAGACCTTTTAGCCTGGTGCACTCTGCTATAAATGTTCGCCTGAATTCCCTTAGTCATCATCTGACCATCTAAACAGGGTTCCTACACTGTTGGAATTTCCATACTTTTCCATACCTTAATTTTTAGAAGTATTATTTTAGAAAACAGTGTTTTAGAACTATGGTAATAGTCTGGTAACATAAATATTTTCCCATACTTTATTTTTCATTTTCCATACTTTTTAGGACCTGGAAATAATAATAATAATAATAATAATAATTTTAGTACATTTTATATACTTTTACAAATGCTTACAGACATTTTACAAGAAACACAATTTAAAATGCAGAAAATTTGGAGTAATAAGACCAACAGTGTAAAAGGTTAAAAAAGACATAATATGAAAATTCAATAAAAGAACAGTTCACAGATTAAAGCCAATGTAAAAATGTGTGTTTTTAGGAGTGATTTGAACGTATGGGGGTCTGAAGAGTCTCTGATGGGTTTGGGGAGTGAATTCCAGAGGGTGGGGGCGGCAGCGAAGAAGGCTCTGTCCCCCCAAGTAAATTGATCAAATTGATTCCATACTTGTGTGGGAACTCTGTCTAAATGATCCCACATTTCTTTGTCCTTCATGATAGAATTCAAAATCCTACTTTCATTTGTGTTTTAATTACAGGTTCATAAATATAAAGAGGGATTTCCCCATCCTTTTTCCTAGTTTAGAATCTAAAACCTTGAGAACTTACTGATCCCTGTAAGTTGTGCGTTCAGCAGCACCTGCGGCTCAGAGAAACCTGCTTCCAGCTGCTGTTAAAGATAAAAACATGTTTTTTTCCCCGGTTCTTTCTCTCACCGCTCTGTTTCTCTCCTGCAGAAATGATTTCACCAACACGCAGCAAGCTGTAGAGTTGGACAGCATCGTCCTCACCTGTCCAGAGATCCCAGGTACACCTCACCGCTCCGCTAACTCTCCACACTGAAGATTTCATGAGTATTGATTTTAGACACTCTGAGGTCCATTTGAGATAAAATGATGATACTTTTTTAGTGTTTGACAACCTCTGTGAGAACATCAGTAATCCTTAAATGAATGGATTAAAGGTGAAATCAAATCATCGATCTGAAGGAAGTTTTACTGTTTGGTCTTACAGGTGAGGAGGGTCTGAACATTAAACGTCGTGTCCAGCAGAAGAGGAAACCGTTAGAGGACTGCTGTAGTTTTCCATACCAGGTCAAAGCAGCAGAGGTAAGAGAAGAGACTGAACTTCATTACCCAGAAATCATGTCAGACTTTGAGAGCATGCAAAACCTGGAAATATGAATGAATCCTCAGAGATCTAGTTTTATCAGACTGCTGTTTGAATTTCTCTGCTGCTGCTCTCTGTCGTGTCTCTGCTACAGGATCCTCAGTTAGAATCTCAGCACACAGACAGCTGCTGTAAATTTAGGGTTTAATCCAGACGCTTTAACTCAGTGCTTCTCAACTTTGTTAGCACCTTTACTCACTTAAATGTCAGAACTCTGAATCTGCTGAACCTACAACAACTCAAATAAATCAAAATCTTTTTCATGATTAAAAATGAGCGAAGTAGCCAAAGAAATCTGTGCACCTGCAGCATCATAAAAAGACAATGTCATGAGGAAAAGGGTGCAGAGGGACTTTAAGAGTTGCTTTAACTTCATGCACACAAATACAAATATGTTCTTACATAAAGAAAAAAATAGTTTTAGAGAAAGTGTTAAAAAGAAGACATTTTTTAAGCGAGAAGCTGAAAATGTCGAACTCACACAGAGCGGCTCCGACTTTGGACCGTTCAGCTGAATGTCACCGTGACTTTTCCTCAAATGCTCACAAGAAACTGTCATCACTGCCCCCATGAGAGGGAAGCTTCAGCTCTCCCAGGTTTTTTCTTTGCAGTGTCGAGCCAAATGCTTGCAGACTTTTCACCAAGCAGTGGTGCCCAATCCTGTTTTGTTTACCTGTTGTTTCAGGGTCCCTGTTTTCCCTGTGTGACTTTCAGTAAAGATAGCAAAGATGCAAAAGATCTCACTCTGCATCACTTTAACTCTGGAACAAAATCTTAGAAACATGCGACGACATCTTCAACGACTTATAGACTCCTTTATGAATTTAGTAGTCGCACCCATAATGTTTGTCTGTGATGGACCCGTCAGCTACAGAAACAGACTTTCAGTGATTTATCGTTTGTCAGAAAAATCCTTGAATTCAGCTCTGAAGAGTGTTTTTCACCTGCAGCCTCCTCGACCGACCACCTACCAGTCAGTCTGCATGAAGTGCAACAAGCCGAGCGAGGACAGCAGTCAGTGTCAGACCTGCGGGAACGGCACCTCGCTGCTGCCCTGTCAGCAGGCCACACTGTCGTCCCCCACCCCCAGACCCCCCATCAGATCCCAGCCCTCCCCCGGACTAAACAGTCAGCCGCAGAACTTCTACAAACCGGCCACAACCATGAGGGCGCCCCGCGGGGAGACGACTCTACCAATCCGGATCACAAGCATCAGAGGAGCGCTGCCGCCTCTGAACAACGGCAGGTCGCCTCTGTTAGCCGGGACATCGAGCTGCTGCAGCGCCAGAAACCCACCTAAAGGGAAGAGGACGGCGGCCCAGAGGCACGAACTCAACGACCCCAGTGAGTAAAAAAAAGAAGGAAAATGTCAAACTCAACATCCGCCTAGAAGAAGTTTAATGTGTATTAGAAAGATCTCAACTCTCTGCTGTTCTTCCTCCAGTCGTCCTGTCCAGCGATGAGGAAGAGGAGGCCGACAACGCCAGCACAGGGAGTGTAAACAGACTGGACAGTGTTTCCCCTCGACCCGCAGACTCAGCTCACTCCTCACCGGCGCCGTCTGGAGGCCGAGTGGAGGCTGCAGTGAAGAGCCCCGGGGAGCAGGAGGAGCTGGGAACTGAATTCTTTGAAGACGTTAACATGAAGATCACGATACCCCGGAGAGCACGGATGAAGGACCAGGTGAGGACCAACTGACCCTAAACTAACTCCAGAAGGATGATAGATATCTGTCCAAAAACTGAAACCAATCCTCCTCAGTTTACTGTCTTTACGGTGGACTGTGTTCCTCCTGCTTTTGCTCTCCATACAGAATATTTTTTCCTGCTGACACCTGATTGGCTAATCAGACGACAGTTTTACAGAGCTCAGGATCAAACTATCTCAGCCTTACACATCCTGTCGAGGGATAATAAGAGAACTAAATCGAACTTGGTCAGAACTTGAAGGCTTCTTTGATTACTTGATCTTTTTACATGCAGAGGTATTAAACAAAATCAGCTGATGGGGTGTTTGTGTTGCAGAGTCAGTGTGGCTGAAGTCCAGTGAAAAGACTTTTCAATCTTGAGTGAAACAGGAGTCTTTTTCTCCCTTTAATCAAAACTTAGAGACATAAAATCAAATGAGGCCTGTTTTGTTTAATGGAGCTTTTTATTGAGAGCGCGCTCACTTTCTTAACTGCTCCTGTTTTTAGTGTTCGGTCTTATTCATCCCTTACTGCTGAGCCACACAGGAGCAGAGTCCTGAATGTGATCAGCTGTGATATGAAAAAACCTACCCAAAAAACGGCTGATCTTTCTGGTCCCTGAAGTCAATTCTGTATTTTCTTATTTTACAGTTTGGAAATCAGCCTCCTGAGCAGTTTCCTCCGAGGACGAAGAAGCCCAAAATACTGCCCAACAAGTGCACCAGCATCATCCTGGAGTGTCGCAGTGTGAGGATAGGAACTCTACGCAGGATGGTGACGAAGCCTGTTGTGGTGAGTGCTTTGTTTTATTACATATTTAAATGTGACAGACAGAGGGACTCTTGTTGAACTTTGGTCTGGATTTTGCACATTCGTACTTTGCAGATTTCAGAGATAAATCCTGTCCTGATCCAGTGATTCGATGGTTCACTTTGCACCGTGCACTTTTTTAACCCTGAGGGTCCCGTTTGTTTGATTAGTGTAGGTGCTCGGTATTGTGCTTAGGTATGGCACACTTCACTGGCCCTGATACTTTTAGAGGGAGGGGCTTCTTTATGGTGCAGGTACTCACACATGAGCACAAGAGTCAAGATTCAGTAACACTTTACTTGACGCCTATCTGTATAACGCATTAATAATAAATATAATAAATATAATCATGTCATAGCACTGTACCATTATAAACACTCATAAATCATCATAATGATTTATAGCAATAATCATAACACACTATAAAGCAATTTATCATGACTTACAAGGTCAGGTATTATAATGTGTTATGCTTATTGTTATGAAGCCTTATGATAATTAATTAGTGTTTATAATGATAGTTATACATAGTTATACAAGTTTATAAGCAAATTATAACACATATAAATATATGTATAACGCATTATCTATGTGGGCATTGTTAGTGAGTTGTTAACAATTATAACACATTATAATACCTGACCTTGTAAGTCATGGTAAAATGCTTTATAATGTGTTATTATTATTGCTATAAAGCATTAAGATCATCTATGAGTGTTTATAACTATAGTTATACAGTGCCATAATGTGATTATAACGCATTATACATATATTTATAATTTGTGATAGAGATAGGCATCAAGTAAAGTTTTACCAGAGATTCAATACATAAATGTCATTTTGATGTAAGCGACTGGTGACAAAAAAAAGAAAAATAAGATGATTTAATATTTAAACAACATTATTAGCATTTCTAGAAAAATCTACACATCAGTAAAAAAAAAACTTCATAAATAGAAGAAAAATAATGACTCTTTGTATCTTTTCAGTTTTCCATCGACAACATCCAGCTGGAAACTGAAGGTAAGCACCACCAAAAACATGTTTATCTATTAAAACAGACTGCAGCGTTGTAGAAGCACATGTCGGCTGACTGAGATGGTCTGCAGACATTATTTCAGTCCCACCTGTTCCTGCAGAGTTTTTCATCACTGAACCTGTTGTGCATGGGGTTTGCAGGCTCTGAGCATGGGACCATCGAGAAGGTGTGTCTCCAGGCGTCGGGGCTGATCAGCTGTGAGTGGTGCAGTGTGCGGAAACTTCCGGTTTTGTTTTTCCAAACAACTCCTGAGGAGTGTGCTCGTCTACGTGAGCAGCTCAAGATGTCCCAGGAGAAGGGAGGACAGTGGTACGACTGTGTAGGAGACCGTAAGTATATTACACCGCCAATCTGAAACAGATGCAGCACATGCATTCAGAAACAGTGCTTCAGTTGTGCTTCAAACATTTCAGAAAAGAGATTATTCATCTATTAAGGATATTTAAAATCCTCAATCTGCTCCTCTGTTCTGTTTCCTTCAGAGTCGGATGAGAAGTACATCGTTCTGATCTTCGAGAACGGCCTCGCGATGAAGGAGCAGACGATCCTGGAGGACATCCTGGGAGAGATCGGCAGGACGAACAACCTGAGCGACTTCCCCTCCAAGCTGACCTTCGAGGAGGCCAACATCCGACTGGTCAACTACAACAAGGCGTCCAAACAGAAGGAGGAGAAGGTGAGCTTAGAGAGCAGTCATTTTTTCTGGTTTTGATCTTTAATCTGCTGCATTAAAAAAAAGAAATCTCACCCCAGAGTTTGACTGTGGAGGTGTTAGATTTGTTTTTACTTGAATAGTTACATGAAAAACATGTTTTGATATTTTAAACTCTTGCATATTTTCGAGCTCAGGAGTTGAAGGTCTGTAGTTAAATGTTTTTCTTCTTCTCACACACACACACCTGTTCCTCTTCGCAGGAGAAGATCCAAGCCTCTCCTAAAGTTACTCACGTTACATCCCTGGTCACTAAAGTCACACCTGTGACCCCCGTGACCCCGGTCACCATCGCTACCCGCACACGGATGGCCACCCGCCAGCAGACCAGCACTTTCGAGGAAGACGAGGAGGAGGACATGACGGACCTCCAACCCACCTTCTCTGGACCAATCATTAAGTGAGAGACTCTTGAGTAAAGCGATGAGTTTTCTGACAGATCCACAGACGGCTTTAACGCTCCTGCTGTTGTTCTCCTTCCAGATTGATGGTGTATCCTCCTCCTCCAGCCAAAGGAGGCATATCAGTTACCAACGAAGACCTCCACTGCCTTAACGATGGAGAGTTCCTCAACGACGTTATCATAGACTTTTATTTAAAGTGAGTAAGAGCGTCATTTACAGCTGAAAAGAGTTTATCTCTCTGCTCTTTAACCCTGAAATCTTCCATTCTTCTTTTATTTTTTTAGATATTTAGTTTTAGAGAAATTGAAAAAAGAAGATGCACAAAGAATCCACATCTTCAGCTCCTTCTTTTATAAAAGGCTGAACCAGAGAGAGCGGAGGAACGTTCCGGACACGGCCAACCTGCCGTGAGTCTCACACAGAGGATGCTTCACCTTCAGATGAGAGTTTTGTTGTTGTTTTGGTCAGAAACACTTTAACTTCTTATATTTTGTTTGCAGAATCCAGAAAAGGAAGCACAACAGGGTAAAGACGTGGACTCGGCATGTGGATTTATTCCAGAAGGACTTCATTTTCGTTCCCATTAACGAGTTGTGAGTCTTTTTCTCTTATGTTGCTTATTTTAACCCTCATCCTCCTCTGACACTTCAGCTTTAAACCAATCTGATCTTCTCCTTTATCCATCAGAGCTCACTGGTACTTAGCGGTCATCTGCTTCCCGGGTCTGATGGGTCCAGTTTATGAGCAGAACCTGCTCTACCAGGGCCAGTTCCCGGCCTCCTCCTCGGGCACGGACTCCCCATCAGAAGAAAACTTCCCGGATCACTGTCGTCCTCTGTCCCCTGAGGGAGACGGTCTGGACAGCTCCTCTGATGAACCCCCGCCCGGCGTCCTTCAGGGGTCATCAGAGGGTCAGTCTGACGGTGACCTCGCTAAGGAGAGTTCAGCCTTCACAGGGATCGGAGAGAAATCAAACACCCCCACGGCGTCAGGTAACGGACAGGCGGACACAGAAACGCAGTTTACCAGTGAGTCCATCATCTCTGTAAATGTATTATTGCTTATTATTAAGGAACTACAAACCGACATGAGACCAACTTTTCAGGCATCAATGACATTAGAGACAAACACGAAACTTCATCACAGTTACAGCAACAGTGCTCAGCATAAGTCAGTACACCCCCTATTAAAAGAAATGTATTACTCAATATTTAGATGAGCAAAAGTAAAATTTCCAATTTTTTTGACAAAGCCGGTTTTACATAACATTTTATTTACCATAAGATGAACATAAGGGTGATTTGGTAACTAAAATTTAGCTTTGCTCCCAGAACTTTGATTGGGGTTTCCAGACTATAAGTCGCTCCGGAGTGTAAGTCACACCAGCCGAAAAATGCATAATGAAGAAGAAAAAACATACACCGGTATAAGTCACATTTTTGGGGGAAATTTATATGGTACTGATTTTTGCATCCTGATTGTGAAAAAATCTGAAAAAAATAATATAGAAAATTTGAAAAAAATACTTTTTTGTATGCAACTTAAAAAATCTTGTTTGCAATCAGTGGCCTATGTTTGGGAGAGTATTTTGTTGTATAGTCTGACATATAAAATGTTGATTCTAAAGGAAACTAAAGGTTCTCAGACAACTCTAAAGGGGTGTACTCATTTATGCCGAGCACTGTACATTAATATTGAGTGTAACATAAAATCAGACACTTTAATCTGCTGCTTAAGTCTACAAAAAAGGAAAATATACACCAGAAACAGCTGAACAAATCATAAATTGTGCCCAGTGATGCAAAAACAGCTGATTTTTATGAGACACCATCCTCTTTGGGGATAACTAAAGTTCTTGTGTTGTTTTGTACTTCTGTCAGTTTTTTCTGCAAATTATCCCTCTTTGTAACTACAAACATGCAGATTATGATGAAGACAGAACCAGCCAACATCTGAAACGTTGTGAAATGTTTCAGACTTGAGTGTTTTTATGGTGTTTTTTATGTGTCTGGTGATTTTCAGGTGAGCTGCACAGAATCAGTGTTTGCTACAGTTCAAAAAGAGACGACGACACCTTCACTTTCTCTGACGACCAGAGCTCCTGTCACGTACGTTACCCTCCTCACTTGTTTGTTTTGTTCACATTTTTTAATTAGTTAACTACCCAGTAAAGACCTCACTAATATCGACAGACTATTAATGAGTGTTTTTATTTGCTACAGGACGAGTGCAGTGAGGACGGGACTCTTGCTGAGGACGCCGCCAGCTCTGACCCGGCTGCTCTGGCCTCCAAACAAAACCTCTGCAGACAGTAAGTTCATGCGCTTCTGCATCTTGACCTGCAGGTGGCGGTGCTGCTCACCTGAAAGAAACACAGCACAGTAAAGATCATTAAAAGCACTCTGTTGTGATGACAATGGTGAACTCCTGTTGCTCCCTTCCTTCCTGCAGGCCTTGTATCCTCATCATGGACTCGCTGCGAGGCCCGGCTCGGTCCACTGTGGTCAAAACTCTCAGAGAGTAAGTGTTTATGTTCGGTTTTGTCTGATCTAAGAGGTAAGTTAGACCAGTTTACGACAAAGGATTACAGCCATAATTCTCTGCAAAGTTTCACATTTTCAGCTCCGTCTGAGAAGTGTTTGGGCTCACGCAGGGATGACTTTAACTTAGATGAAAATAATCACCATAGCTCTGTACTGCACATCAGTTTCATGCTGATTCGTGCTTTGTTCATGCATCAAATCAATGACATTTAGTCTTAAGAGAGAGACGACAAACTCAATAAAGAAGGTAAATAAACATGCGTCTCAATAAAGAAGGATACTGTGAAAATGTTTTAATTGTAATCAGTTATTTAGAAATATAAAAATGTAACATAGTCTAGACTCATTACAAATTAAAATGTTTCAAATGTTTTTCTGTTTTTATGTTGTTAGTTATTAAAAAATGTAAAAACATATTTAAAATATGAGAATCTTCATTCAGAACATGCAGCTATAATCATGGTGCAGAGGATGATCATGGTACTTCCCCACAAAGAGGGTCAGCCACTGCTGGAAGTTTGGTTGTTTAGAGTCTTTATGAAGCAGATTCATGGACTGAAGGGGAAAGTGAGGGAGGAAAAGGAGACCAAGAAACAAGGATGAGAGGATTTTCAAGAAAGTAACATTGATTTAAGAACTCAGTGGAGCGTCACAAGGACTGGACTGAGGCTGGAGTCAGAGCATCAAGAGTCTCTGCACACAAATGAGTCCAGGAAATGGACTGCAAGTGTTCCTGCTGTCAAGATCCTTATGAACCAAAGACAACCTCATAAGAGTCTCACCTGCGCTAAGAAGACAAAGAACTGGACTTTTGTTCAGTGAATCAAAATCCTGTTTTCACCTAAGAGTCAATCAGACCCAGAATTCAAGGTGTTTGAAATCCAGCATGAAGTTTTTCACAGCCTGTGATGGTTTGAGGTGCCATGTCATCTCCTGTTGTTGGTCTACTGTGATTTATTAAGTCAAGATTCAGCTCAGCCTTAAGTCTTCTTGGAGGTCCTAGAGACCTTCACTTTGTCTGTTCAAATGTGTATGTTGAAAAAGTTTGACCTTTTTGAGTCAAAATTAACCAAAAAAAAAAATAAAAATTCAGATCTTGAATTATTTGAAATGCACCTTTAAATGCTGGCTTGGGACTGAGTGTGTGTTTGTTTTAGGTACCTGGAGGTGGAGTGGGAGGTGCGTAAAGGGACTCAGAGGAGTTTTGGGAAGGATGTGATGAAGGGCTCGAGCCCACGTGTGCCTCAGCAGGATAACTTCAGTGACTGTGGAGTCTACATCCTGCAGTATGTGGAGAGCTTCTTCGAGGTGAGAACGGGAGACTTAAATTCAACATGCTCGCCTTTCGAAACACAAATATGACGTTTTATTTGCTCTTAACTTCCCTATATCCACCCTTTCTTTTGCCGCAAAAGCTTCTATATCACCCATTTATCCACTAATATTCATTTTGTCATTTAAAGTATTTCTTTTGTCATATTTTTGAGTGGTTCACAGCTGTTTCTTTTAACGATGAGGCCTGTCTGCAGGAATGAGGATGTAATTTGTGGCATAATTGTTGTATTTTCCATTTACCCTATTTACTCTGTTGCTCATAGTGAGAGAAGAACTGATGGTCTTTGTTTCATTTGTTTCGATATCAGTGAGAAGAAGTGCGGCTTTATCACTCTTTGATTTTAGAAAGTTGCAGGAAAAACAGGATTTGATTTCCTGCAGGCAACAAGAAGTAAACAGATGATAACATAAGAGGCCCCAGGATAGGGCCCTGAGGAACACCAGCAGTGACAGGAACAGGCTTGGAATAACAATTTTGTAATCTCTTTTTGCAGAATCCGATTCCCAGTTTTCACCTGCCTGTAAACCTATCGGAGTGGTTTCCTCAGCAGAGGATGAAGACGAAGCGTGAGGAAATCAAGACCCTGATCCTGAATATTAAAGAGCAACAAGAACTAGAGAAGAAAGAGTCTGACCAGGTGGAGCCTCCAGTCGGCTCTTCTGAGGAGCCTGAGATAGAAGAGACTTCTGGGTCCACGGACTGGCCTTCAAACTTTCCCATCAGCCCTTGAAACACCCCCCACCCTCTTCCTCCTCCTCCTCTTGGGGGGCCAAGCCTGATTGTACGCTGCTGGTTTCACTCTAAAGTGTCTGAAAACGGTCCTTAAGTCCCTCCATAACCACAGACATTACACACCTTTAAATTTGTACTGAATAAAGTGTAAATATGCTGGAGTTCTCTCGCTGCCTTTGTAATTGACTGTTTTCTGACTCAGTCATGAAGCAGCTCATTAACTTATGATTTCATAGATGTTCTTCTCTCCAAGAAGATCTGTGCAGAAGATACTGTGCGCTCTTGCATCCTTATTTTTTAAGCTTTATAGTGGTGTAGAAGAAAACAAAGACTATTACAAAAAAAAAAGCCAACTAGAAGAAGTTGCTGTTCTTTGTAAGTTATCGAGCCACATGTCTGGGATAATAAAACATGTTTCCATAAAGTTCAGCTCACGAGTCACATACGTAGTTCAGTGCTTGTTGTGTCTCTTCATGTGGAGATGAAATGCAGCATTAAACAGATGCAAGAGCACTTCCTCTGCCTTTACGTTTTATTCCTGCAGTGTATGCTGGGAAACGGAAGACAAGAGTGTGTTACTGTGTGTGTTTGTCGCTGCTGTATTTGAGGTATACAGAAGGTTCTTGTGTGAATTTTTCCAGGTCAAGAGAAGGGATCAGCAGGGATATCAGCCTTGTTTCCCTTTGAGCTATTATCTCCCTCTTAGTCATGGTAGGTCACTGCGGTCGACCTCTAAACTGGTATATGCTGTATGTACACATAAGGTGGTGTCCCATGCCATCACCTCTGCTCTCTTGCTTTCTTACTGATCAATCTGGGAAAACAGTTCATTTTCATTTGTGCCTGTTGACACTGTGGCAAAAATGTAGCCTGTAGTTAAATAGACTTAAATCTCTTCAATTATGTTAAATTATGATTCCATTAGAAAAAGACAACCATAGTACTCTCATGCAGCAGAGGATGGAAATAACTCTAAGAAACAGATCAATAGCCTTGTTATTGATTACAACTTCTATGATTATCAGCATACTTATTTATGGAGCTCCATCCACCACTCAGACCAGAGCTGTACAAACCTCTGTAACCCAGTCCTGGGCTGTGAGTGGCAGATATTTTCCATGTATTCATTCATGAAAAAAATGCACTGGTATTTGGAGAGATTGTTTCATAAGTGACGCCAACAGAGCCGACCCAAGCCTCAATGGGGCCCTGAGCAAAATTTGATTTTGGGGCCTTCTATTTCTGCCAATAATATTGATTGTTGGTCATTCACGCACCTTCACAAATCTCTTCGATTAACATTCCACGACATGTAAACACAACTTTGTCTTGGCATTTTTTTCACCTTCCTCTTTCATTTCTCTGCTCCTGAAGGATACGTCCTTTTTTGCAACATTGTTTTGCCCCACAACTACCTGCTCTTTGGATGCTCAGTGCATATTGCACAGCAGAAATAACGATAGCAAAGCTTTGACATATCAGCAGTAAGAATCACGGGCCTACATCAGCAGCAGAACTAAAATGTTTTTACTTTATTTAATTTTTTCAATAATATATATTTGATCTTACAGAAAACATCACTCATACATGCAAAAAATAAAAAATATCTTCAATTTCTTTTTTTTTTTGGATTGCTCTTGGGGGGCCCCCTATTGGCCGCAGGGCCCTAAGCAGGCGCTTAGTTTGCTTATGGCGTGGGCCAGCTCTGGACACCAAACAAAGCAAGAGAGCCTATGATGCATTAGGGATCTCCTTCCTTATTAAAAGGCATCAGCACCATGGAACAAAGGCTGTGTGAAATAAAGCCCAACTTGATTAAGCTGAATATACAGGTTTATCAATAGCAACACGTTTCAAATCTAGAGTTTGCACTTATTCGTGCATTAAAGGGCTTGAACGTTTACTCCCAGACAGGTGCAAACGAATCTCAGACCAGACGTGTCTCCAGCTGTCTCAGGTGTTTTGTTATGAAGTGCCGCTCTCAGATTTCAGTCTGCTGTTGAGTGACGTCCTCTGCAAACAGACAGGACTCACGCAGTGTAAAGTTACCAAACACTAAAACATTCATGACTCCTGAACCGCTGTTTTGTTCTTCCACTTAAAAAGCTCAATCAGCCAATCTTTATAGCATTAAATATTCAATACTTTTTATAGATAGCTTTTAGAAGTGTTAATGGAGGGAGGGAAAGTAGACAGCTAAGGTAAGGATGATGGGAATTTCATGACTGTCATTAGATAATATACTAAAGCTCAATGCAAACTCATTTTTAACTGCTTAACTCAGACAAAGTTTGAGCCTGTTTGATTCTTTTTCCAGAGGTTTCCCGTCTTAAAGTCCTTTTAGATGTTTTCCACAGAGCATGTCTGAATCCAGTCTCTAAAATCCATATTTCCTGTAATTATGGGTTTCTAGTAAAGATAAAGATAAAGATAAATTCTGGGACCCCTCCAGTGTACTCCTGGGGGTTCTCGAACACGTTTGTCTGCAGTGAGCATTCGCGGGTGCAGCAGCAGACAGATTATCCCTGTTAATCTCCATCCTTCTTTATAGTCTTATAGCTCAGTGTGACACATCCAGACAGACAACAGAGATAAGGAGACGGAGGAAGCAATTAAGGTACAGTATTTAAAGTTTCAGAGCACTTTACTGAGAGTTTTTTCAACATCAATAAGAGTAAAAAACAGCTGTCAATTAATAAATCTGTCAGGGTCGGTCATGGTCTCCAGAGGATAAATCTTTCTGTCTCTGGCGATGATGTTTTTAGTCATGTTGCTCAGAAGATGGATTCTGGTAATCTAAACTTTTTAGTCATTACAGTTTTTACTCCTTTGAAGTATTTTAGTACAGCTCACTTCAAATCTATTCAGATAAGTTGAAAAATCCTCTTCAAGGCTACAGGTTAAAACTCTCTGAGTGAACCTCACTAACTCAGAGTAAAGTGGAGACGCAAACAGGAAACATGTTGACAGAGAGGGTCAGCACTAGGCAGTGACTCTCAGCTGGAATCAAACTGAGACTTTTGGACCATGTGGGCCTCCATCCTTCCTGTCTCAGGTTAAAACAACAGAAAACAGCATCTGTAACATCTGGACATTCACTCTCTGTATGCCCATGACCTACACATGGATAAAACATAAGCTTTTATGACTTTTTTTAAATGTCTGAATTAACCCATAATTGATAAAACCATACTTTTTAAACTAAAATGATAAAAAATAAACAGTAAAAAATATCAGAATAATGTGTTTTTGAAGAGGAAAAACACAGATAAGTATTACAAAATACTCCAACACTGCCAACTCACAAAAGGACAGTTAGTCAAACTTCAATATAGTGAAGAAATGACCTTAACACAAAAAATATGGGGCCAATTTTATTTAATTTAATAACAATGATTTTTTTTTTTAATGATCAAAAAGGTAAGACATGTATGGTATGCCCCTGCTTACATTTTACTAATTAAAAAAGTGTCAAAATAATTGCTTAAAAATGAACTTTTAAAATAGTGACACTATTTTTTTTGCAAAGCCCTAAAATATTTTTCTGAATGGAAAAAAAAAAAAAAAAAAACAAAACAAAACAAAAAAAAAAAAAACAACAACTTTTCCCTAATATTATTCCATGGAATACAAACCATTTTATCACCATAATAATGATAATAATAATAATAATAATAATAACAACAACAACAACAACAACAACAACAGTAATAATAATAATAATAATAATAATAATGATAATAATTTCACAAAAAGCATAAAGGCATGAAACATGTAAGATGTAATAAAAAAAACATTTTGCCTAATGTTATTTCATGGAATGCGAAACATTTTGTAATAATAACAACTATAATAATAATAATTATTATTATAATAATTATTATAATTATAATAATTTCACAAAATGTAAAAAAAGCATGGAACATTAAGGATGTGATGAACAAAAAAACATGTAATAAAATAGACACAAAAAAAGCCTAAAAAACAATAAAAAAAAAATTGTGAAAAATTATCCAGTGTAGCAGCCTTCCCCTTTCTCCCTACAGGCCGTTTCCTCCATCACTGTTGCCCCTTTAAGATCACCTTACACGTGAGCCTTAGGCTGTCGGGGCTCGCGTGGTCCCACCTTGGATGCTCTATTGTGCAGCAGAGCATGAGTAAACCCCCCTCCTCTCCTCATGGTCGGAACAGCGCCCCCTTGCAGGCGGACTCACACAGCCGGCCGTATTTATCCAGCCCGTGACGTCACAGGGCCAGTTTCCCAGGATTGCTGCGGGAGTCGGAGGCTGCAGGGCGGGGAGAGTTTGGCCCAGGCTGCCGGAGAGGACACCTATCATCAGGAGACACCCGGGCCGGTGCGGCTGCGTTTGGGACCTGCGCTTCATTTTGTGGGATTTTTAAAAGAGAAATAACGCTGTGGTCTGTAGGAGAGTGAAGGGAATTCACGCTGAAACGAGGTAAGAAACACCGACAGACGTTTGCATGAAACACGGAGCACTGCCCGGTGCTAGCAACACAGGGAGGCTGTCAGCACACATTGTGGCTTTACAGGGAGGAAAACCGTCAACACACTACTGAGAGCTCTGACATATAACAGCGATTTGTCTTAGAACAGTGCTCTATCTAATTTACTAATATTTTGAAATGAAGAATATTACATATTTTATGTTTGGACAGCCTCAAACGTGCCTGGTTTTGTGTAGCTTTGTCAAGCCAAGTCTGCACCAAACTTCATTCAAACAAAGTGCAGTTTAAAGGCAGTTTTAATAAATCCAAATGCTCCTTTATGGAAAAACATTTTTCAATACATACTTTGACTAACTTGGATATAGTCCTTAATTCGGCTCATGAAGATTTAATTATGCTGTCTTATATCGCAGTGTGGCTTCAACTTTTTTGATCTACTAAGCGACACTACCGTTTCCAACAGACGGCTGGAAGACCATAGAAGGCGCAACCGGCGAACACTATTTAAAAGTTAAAAAATCCAAAAGAAAG